CGTACTCTTGATAAGAGTAACTTTACCCCCTTTTGACAAATATTGCTTCTTCCAACCTGCCAATCTCTTCGCATACCTGTCAATCACGGAATCCCAACTCCCCACTAACCTTGAAGAGACCCCTAGGGGCAGACCCAAATAAGGAATAGGGAAAGAACTCACCCTGCATCCAAGGACTGCAGCTAAAGAGGAAATATCCTGAACATTCCCTACTGGGACAAGCACACTCTTAGCCATATTGACCTTAAGCCCGGAAACTGCCTGAAAACAAGTCAATACACACCTCAAGTATCGAAGTTGAGAAACATCAGCATCGCGGAAAACCAGGGTATCATCTGCAAAGAATAGATGAGAAATCTCCATCTGATGATCTAAATCTCTACCTACCCTGAACCCTGTTATAAACCCAAGGTCCTCTACCCTGCGCATAAGTCTACTTAACCCCTCTATAACAACAAGAAAAAGGAAAGATGACAAAGGTTCTCCTTGTCTTATACCCCTAGAGCAGCCAAAGAAACCAGCGGGAGAACCATTCACAAGAACTGAGAACTTGACAGACGAAAGACAGGTCTCAATCCACTTCCTCCATTTACTTCCAAACCCCATTCTTTGTAACAACTATAGAAGGAAATTTCAATTCACATGATCATATGCTTTCTCAATATCAAGTTTGCATAAAACTCCAGGAATACCACTCCGCAATCTGTAATCCACACTTTCGCTAGCAATAAGGACTGAATCAAAAATTTGCCGTCCACCTACAAAAGCGTTCTGAGAATCCGAAATAATCCCATCCATAACCTCCCTCATCCTTAAAGCAAGAACCTTAGCAATAAGTTTGTAAATACAGCCCACCAAGCTAATAGGACGAAAATCCTTTATATCTGAAGCGCCTCCCTTTTTTGGGATAAGGGCAATGAATGAAGCATTAAGCGATTTCTCGAAAACGCCAGAAGAATGAAACTCCTGAAAAGTACCCATTACCTCATTTCTTACAACCGCCCAACTTTCCTTCAAAAATCGCATAGTAAAGCCATCAGGTCCCGGAGCTTTGTCCCCATTACAACTTGATAAAGCTCTAAGAACTTCTTCTTCAATGAAAGGATTCTCAATCTTATCTCTATCAAGCTCAGAAATAGCCTCAAAATGGAGACCATCAAGTTTGGGCCTCCAGACTAAAGGCTCAGTATAAAGCTTCTGATAATAAGAAGCAATACCGTTCCGCACCTCTTCCGCTCTCCACAACTCCTCTCCATCCACCCGAATTCTTCCTATATGATTACTCCTCCTATGAGCGTTAGCTAACCGATGGAAGAATTTTGCGTTCCTATCACCTTCCTTTAGCCAAAGAGCCCGAGATTTTTGACGCCATGAGATCTCCTCCATACTAGCAATCTCAGCAAAAACCGCTTGACAAAAGGCTCTCCTGGAACGTAGAAATTCCACATCCCCTCCCGCCTCCTCAAAACAATCAATCTCAGAGAAATCAACAAGAACTCTATTCTTCCTCCATTCCAAATTCCCGAAAACATCCTTGTTCCACTGCTTTAGAGCTAATTTGAGAGCCCTTAACTTCTTTGTAATGGTGAAACTGGGCGATCCTAAAACAGTAACTCCCTCCCACTAAGATCTGACTTTCCCTTGGAAATCTTCCGCACGCAACCACATATTCTCAAATCTAAACGGGGATCTTTGAGAACATAAACCCCCACAATCCAAGACCAAGGGAACATGATCAGAGGTGACTCTTTCTAATACCGCTTGAACAACATCCGGGAATTTCTCTTCCCAATCCCCAGAAATTAAGAATCTGCCCAGCCTTGAAAGAGTGATTGAATCCCTACCATTTGACCAAGTATAAGCTGCTCCTTCCATCGATAAATCAACAAGAAGATGCTCATCAATAAAATCAGAAAAGTGATCCATTTCCAAAGATCTTCTCCCCCCTGTAGACCTCTCTGACGGGGACCTAACAGCGTTGAAATCCCCTCCCAGGCACCAAGGGGAAGACCACAATCCTTGGACATGGCAAAGCTCCTCCCAAAAGATAGGTCGCTCATCATCAAGAACCGGTCCATAGACTCCAGTAAAAACCCACTTGAAGTTGTCCTCTTCCATCTTAAGCATACAAGATACAGAAAATCTCCCCATCCATATGTCCGTTCGAGATAACCACCTATTATCCCACATAACTAAAATCCCACCCGAAGAACCTATAGCATTCAAGGCCTCCCATTCCACAAACCTTCCTCCCCACAAACTCTTAACCTCCCTGTCAGTAATGGAGGCCAACTTGATTTCTTGTAAGCAAACAAACTGGGCACCCCACTTCCTTAAGGCTACTTTCACCACCCTTCTCTTGTTCGGATCGTTAAGACCACGAACATTCCATGAAATGATTCGTAACTTCATTGTAAACCAGATAAAATAATCTCCCCTCCCTTGAGACTTCTGCTCCTGGTTCTTCCCCTTTCCTTCGCCACTCCTCCTTTCCCTTCGTAATTAACTTCAGAAATGAGATTCTTTATCTCCTGTACTCCTTTCCAGGATGATAAAGGCTTTGTATTCATAACTTCATTGGTCACTGCAAGCTCTCTCCCTTCCACAATTGCTTGAAGGATAGATAATGTCTGATTATCATTACCTTCTGAAGAAACTCCCAAAAGCTCACTAGTGACTCCAACATTGTCAACAACCCAATCTTTCCCCATATCAACACCCTTTTCGTCAGGTCGCACCATAGCCAATGGTACCTCCTGTAGGACTTCAGGACCATTCTCCACCCATGGTGTAAGGTCATTGGAGCAAACCTGTTGGATAGAACCTATATCCTCATCCACCTCCTCTTCCATCTCCCTATCATTCTCATAAAAAGAATCAGATCCTGTAACAAAATCAGTCCCGTCAATCCCTGTGTAAGGTAGGCAATTAAGACCTTTCAGAGCAACGCTTAATCGAAGCTCTTTGATCAAGGCTACGGCCTCTTCATTGGACAACTGGAAATGCAGGTATCTGCCCACACAAACTATGACTCCTTTAGGAAATTTACTGACTGCACAATCTGCCACTATCATCTGCCTAGAAACGCCAGATTCACTATCCTTCAGTCCTTCTGTATTCAACCCATTCGAGGAATCATTTCCATTGTCTGTGACAGCTAACTCGCATTTCTTCTCTAGTTCCGGCACAATACCGGCACTCCTCACCACACAAGAAGGGGTAGAAGAAAAGGATGGGTCATTAAAAATCTGAGGATGTGAAACTGATGGCGTACCTGGAACATTAGTAGAAAACCACTTTTGCTCCTCTTTTCGTGACCATCTAACACCTTGATGATTTCTGTTGAAGTCCCGAGAAGAAGACCTGACAATTCTTCCTTTCAGCTGAAGAGTATCAGAGAGAGATGATGATGAGATATCTGCACAACATTAAGAATGACGAGAACCCATCTCAAAATGACCTCCACCATTCGCTGCAGCAGATAATTTCAACCATTTTCTCTTCTCCGGAGAGTTCCAGAAAAATGCAGAGGACTCTTCAGAACGACGCCCCTGTAAGTGACTAACTTCTTTAGAAATAGATGGGCTGGGCTTGGAATTGATAAGAGAAACTATCATTTTATTTTTGGACCCTCTCAAAACCTTTCTCTTCAGGTCGGTCACATTTGGTCCATGACTTGAGATGGACTGTGGGCTGGACTTATTCTTAAAAGAAAGAGGTCCCCCGATGAATAATCCTTTGCGACTCCTGTGGGCCGGGATGAACGAGCGATCGATTTGATGGAATAGGCCCATAACCCACTTCAGATCCGCGCTTTGGCCCATTAGAATCCGCAGTATTAAAGACTCCTTTTAAACCACGGTCTCTGCCACGTGGTTGGTATCCGTTAGCGCAGATATTACGAGGGAGCAAAAGGCGTTGACTAAGGACTTGATTGATGGCCCCTCTACGCGCTACTGGCGCGTGAATAGGCGAACGCCTCTTTCCTTCAACACCGTGGTAGATCTGTGCATTCCGGCGACTACCTCCAACTGCAACAGCCGGGATATGTGACCCCTCAACGCCAAAGTAAGATTTCGGAAGAATACGAGGTGTTATTTCCTCTAACAAGTTAACCCTATAAGCCACTCGTTGATCCTCGACAAAAACGTATTCCGGCATTAATTTTTCGGCAGAGACATAGATGAGAATTCGCTGTCCACACGTTGAGACATCCGCCTCAACACCTCGAAATCCACCACATAAATTCCCAATAGCTTCAAATAACTTATTGCACCAGAGATGGAGGGGTAAACCAAACAGGATCACCCGTCGTACTACTCGTTCTTTTACAGCAGAACAGCCGGCGGCGAAGTACCAAATATCGATGGATAACAAAGCGTCGCCCCATCTTTTTCTCCCTTCATCTAACACCCTTAAGGCCTCAATCTCCGATGAAAACCTGAACAGAAGCAGATCATCAGGTAAAAGAGACACTTTCACCCCACATGAAACCTTCCAAGTTTTCAATGCCCACGCCTTGATCCCTTCAAGACACCCTACGTCTCTGTCGAAGCAACCTACTAGGCATGATCGCAGTACAGATTCACGCTCCTGGATGCTTTGATGATCAACCCTATACACCAAATCATTACCTATAGAGCAGCTTTTGATTTCCCCGTGAAGATTGAGACATGGTAGGGTCGCAACACTGAGATATGAACGATGCATATCACGATTCCTTGCCAAAAAAACAAAAAACCAGTGACAGACATAAACGGTGGACGCCGGAGTGGAAGACTCCGACGTCAGAAAGAGAAGAGAGAGAGCCATGGGAAGTTAACAAGCAATGTCCCTTCTACAAGCAGACAAAGCCATGTCAGAATAAACCAGGCTCCACAGTGAGTTCTTTATGCAGTAAACAATTAACATACAATTTGGATGATTTGTCCTAATGTATGCAACCAATTTTAGTCCCTGGATTAGAAACAACTAAGAAACACAAGAGATATATGGAATACCTCTGGCATTTTGATATCGAGATCTTCAGAAAGCTGGTCGATCGAGGTATTTGCATCCACATCATATATTCCTTCTGCTCGCATTACAATATAACCAGTTTTTTTCTGAATTTCCTCCTGTTATAGAGCAATATAACATACAAACAAAATTAACAATAAGATTTGCTTGCCAATCAGCAAATCAAGTATGAATTTAGGCACCCAATGCTTCCAACACTCCTAAACTATTGGTGGTTCAGAAACCAACAGTCTCATCTGATGCGGCACCGCAATCAAGGAACATTGGAGCATTTGGCCTTTGGAATCACTAACATCAACAATTTGATTTTCAAAGAGCCAAAACCCCAAAAATAATTGACCATCTTAGAGGTGCTATTCTTTTTCTTTCAAAATTTTAGAAACTCCACCTTCATAAGATCTATAACACATCTAAAATACAATTTCAGCCTCCAAAAGAAGTGACATAGTTAACCCATTTTTCTAGAGATAACATTTAAAAACCAATATAAATTGCAATACTGATGTAAAGCAGCATACTGATGATAAGTTTACAATCTTCAGAAATAAAAATCACTTTCAAAATCGGATATGAAACCATGAATACACACAAGTTTTATGTTGTTTTAGCAACCTAAAACTAAACAACATAAAACTATAATTCCCAATCTTACCACCTCATACTCTATAATCTATAAGCAATGAATTTTCTTTGCCAACTATGTAAAATAAAATCTCTTCAAGAAAAGAATTACATAAATGTGTAGTATTGATTACTATCTAGACATCAAGTAGTTAAAATTCAATGTAAGGATGTTTATCAAATCAGTGCGGAAAATATTACGCAATCAAAAAATAAGAGAGATATGATGCAATCTTAAGTAAGCATTACTTTTGAATCATTTTCATCAAAGATTTCACCAACGATTTCCTCCACCACATCTTCCAAAGTTACTATCTGTTTCATTCACAAAGGATAAGGGAAAAAAGGGGGGAAAAAAAAATCAAGGTCAACATGACGATGTAAAAATAAAAAACATGAAGCAGAAGATCAAAGGTACATAGCAAGCTGTTACTTTAACAATACTATAAATAAGAGTGTATACGTACTCCAATAGTTCCACCATATTCATTAAGAACAACAGCCATGTGGACCTTCCTGATGCGAAATTCTCTAAGAAGATTCCAGACTGACATTGAATCTGCAATTGATCACAAGGTTTATTAATTATTATTGTTCTATAATTGAACGACAATTGAATAAAAAGAGGTCATAATATAAACTTCCGAAACAAAATTCACCATTAATCATGTGACAGTCTTTTTTTCATAAGTAAGATTGATATAAAAAGGCAAGTCATGTTACAGTCTTGAAAAATTAAAGGTGACAAAGTCATACTAAAAGTCGTAATGTTCAGAAAATGAGGATAAGAAATTGAATTGTTCAACCCATTAATATAATTTTCCTGAATTGACCCATAAATATAGCCTTATTAAAATTTAAATTACAGTCCGAATTTCAGAACTTTGAAGTAAAATAGTGTGATGATTGAGTAGAGCAGTAAACATTAATCTAGTTTAAGCCTTATTAGAACTTGAGCATAGATACTTCAGTTATTAAGGGGAGGAATAACTTAAATATCTTCTTTATTCACTATCCTGGTTTCCTTCACAAATTGAAAAAGAATGCATCATAATTTGAGAGAACGTGTATACATTCATTGAGCTTGAAATAATTGATTATTGAAGAGTGACGACAGAGGATCAGGACCCAAAGTCATTTGGTCTGACTTACAAAATCAATATGACAAAATTACGAAAAACGTCATATCAAATTAGCAGTTCAAACCATTTAAAATCCATGTTCAAACAAGTCTTCAAATCAAGGGATGTATATTCATGAATAAACTTTTTGAGTCCTAGCCTCTGCAGTTCTCTAAAGAAAGGCATCTGAGTCTGCATAACTATAGACAACTACACCAAATAAAGTGGCAGAGTAGCAATGCCGTCATACAACAAAATTGGGCATGCCATATAAAATGTCTGTGCTGTGCAGTGATGTTAGTGCTCCATACCCATTCTTTTCAATGGCATGCATCCTGATCAACGAGTTACATTAAAATCCTCAATTCCATCATCAATCACTTTAATGGAACATGCATAATCTGTGAGGAAATCAATCAGGTTTTTTTCTTTTGATAACTGAGGCATCAACAAGGCTTAAAAAGACAATGTATTGGCCTTTGAACTAATAAAGGTAAGGCATGCCTAGGTCCCAACAATGCCCACGGTGCCCTCAAGCGCATGCTTTTATCAGGCTCCAGGCTAAAGCAAGAACACTTTATTGACATGCTTTATATTGAATCATGGTCATATTCAATATATTATAAGTTTTAATCGTATCAGATATTTGGAATTCAACAGCACATGGTTGACATCTTGCATAAAACATAACTATATGCATTAAATACATCTGATGCTTAAATTTAAGTATCTATGATATAATATATATATATATATATATATATATATATATATATATATATATATATGATTATAGCCTAATATGATAGCAAGTTTGCATTGGTATTTGACTTATTTAATGTAGACGCATATCAAATTGATACATCAGCGTCAATTACTTATTTCATTGATTTGACAAAACATCCATTTTGAAGAACGTTTTAACTATCTTTTAATTGCATATTTTGAATTATTTCAATTGTACACTGGTTTAATTGAATACATTTTTTTTTGATAAGTAATAATGAATTAAAAAGGCGTTCAATAGGGGAACGCGTCCCATAAACATTAGAGAAACCGGGGTCTAAGGCCCCAAAGAATCCAAAAAAGTAATTAAGTCATCAGAATAGGAACAAGAACTACACTTCACATAACTAAAGAGAGAACGAATAATAAAAAGTTTCAATATCACTGTAGACGACTCCTTCCCTTCAAACATTCTACTATTTCTCTCCGTCCAGATGCACCACCAAACACAATGTGGGACAGATCTCCAATAATCACGAACAGTCCTACTCACACGACAACCTCTCTAGGCATGAATGAACTCCTTAGTAGAACATGGTATTACCCAACACATGCCAAACAGGCCAAGAATAAGATTCCAGCAATCGTGCGCTACATAATGGGGGGGCTAATATTAAACAAGGAGGAATTGGGGATCGAAAGATTAAAGAGTTGGAAAATTTTAAATGAAATAGGGTTAGACTTTAGAGGGAGAGGATTGAGCTCTTTGATTTGTGCAAGATTAAGAATTTAGGAGTTCTCTGTGCTTTTGCTTAGTGATTGTTTAGGGCTTGTTTGGCTTGGGCTTGGTTGGACCTTTGATTTAAAATTGTGACTTAGATATTGGGCTTGTTTGGATGGGTTAAAATTGGGGGGCTAATACTACTACTAATTTTTTCTTTTTTAAAACATTGAGCTAAATATACCTATACTAAAAAAAAAAATTGGGGGGGGGGGGATCAACTGACTCCCCGTCCTGCTTGCATAGGCAACACCAATTAACAAAACAATTTCCCTTTTTCCTCAAATTATCGATCATCAGAATCTTATCCCAAACAGCGGTGCATACAAAGAATGTCACCCTAGTAGGAGCCATAGAGCGCCATATGGTCTTCCATAGGAAATCATAGGATACAAAATTAGACAAACATAAGAACAAGGATCTTACTTCAAAGCGACCGTGAGAAAAGGGAATCCATGTCAAATTGTCATAACCCCTGCCAATTCCTTCCCGCCGATACAATTGGTCTAAGAAAATGCTCACCTCTTCCAACTCCCAGTCCTGAAATGAACGCCGAAAATGAACATTCCACGTAATCCCACTATTATCAAGCCTATAATAGTCAGCTACGATGGCATGTTTATCAACTGCAATACTGTATAGTCTGGGAAATGTACGACATAAAGGCCGATCCCCACACCAAAGATCTTCCCAAAAACGAACCCAACTACCATCACGAACTTTGAATCTGATATGAGAGGAAAAGGCATCCCATCCCTTCCGAATGGATTTCCAAGCCCCAACTCCTCCCGCAATAGAAACCAGACATGTAGTCCATCCGCCAATGTCTTCCCCATACCGACAAGAGACTAATCTACGCCAAGGGCGGTGTCTTTCCTTCCCATATCTCCACAACCATTTGCCCAGAAGAGCTTGATTGAAAGGAATCAATTGTCTAATACCAAGACTACCCAACTTTATAGGCTTGCATACTTGCTCCCACCTAACAAGGTGATACTTGAACTCTTCTCCCCTTCCGCCCCAAAGGAAATCCCTTTGAATTTTTTCAATTCTATCAACAACGGAGCATAGAATTTGGAATATAGAAAGAAAATATGTGGGAAGGCTTGATAAAGTGCTCTTAATAAGAGTTACTTTGCCCCCCTTAGACAAATATTGCTTCTTCCATCCTGCAAACCTCTTTGTATACCAATCAATCACAAAATCCCAACTCCCCACTATCCTGGAAGAGGCCCCTAGGGGCAAACCCAAATAAGGAATAGGAAAGGAACTCACCCTACACCTAAGAACTGCAGCTAAAGAAGAGATGTCCTGAACATTCCCAACCGGGACAAGCACACTCTTAGCCACGTTTACCTTTAGCCCGGAAACTGCTTGAAAGCAAGCCAGGATGCACCTCAGATATCTAAGTTGAGACACATCTGCATCACAGAAAATAGAGTGTCATCTGCAAATAGCAAATGAGAAATCTCCACCTGATGGTCAATATCTCTTCCCACCCAGAATCCCTTAGTGAGACCAAGATCCTCTGCCCTGCACATAAGTCTGCTTAAGCCCTCCATAACAATAAGAGAAGGAAAAGATGACAATGGATCACCTTGTCTTATACCTCGAGTGCACCCGAAGAAGCCAGCGGGAGAACCATTCGCAAGAATTGAGAATTTAACAGACGAAAGACATGTCTCAATCCATGTCCTCCATCTACTTCCAAACCCAATTCTTTGAAGCAAATAGAGTAGAAAATTCCAATTTACATGATCATAAGCTTTCTCAATATCAAGTTTGCATAGAACTCCAGGAACACCACTGCGCAACCTTAAATCCACACATTCACCGGCAATAAGAACTAAATCAAGAATTTGCCGTCCTCCAACAAAGGCATTCTGGGAGTCTGAAATAATCCCACCCATAACTTCTCTCATTATTTGAGCAAGCACTTTAGCTATGAGTTTGTAAATACAACCCACTAAGCTAATAGGACGGAAATCCTTAATATTAGAAGCGCTTCCCTTCTTGGGGATGAGGGCAATAAATGATGCATTGAGCGACTTCTCAAAGACACCAGTAGAATGGAACTCCTAAAAGGTACTCATCACTTCATTTCTCACAACCGCCCAACTTTCCAACAGAAAACGCATAATAAACCAGTCAGGCCCCGGAGCTTTATCCCCATTACAACTGGATAAGGCCTTTAGAACTACTTCTTCATAAAAAGGAAGCTCTAGCACATCTCTCTCCAACTCAGAAATAGCCTCAAAAGGGAGTTCATCAAGCTTCAGTCTCCAACCCAAAGGTTCTGTGTAAAGCTTCTGATAAAAAGAAACGATCCCACTACGCACCTCTTCCTCCCTCCACAACTCCACACCTTCCACCCGTACACGTCCTATGTGATTACTCCTCCTATGAACATTAGCAAGTCTGTGGAAAAATTTTGTATTACGATCTCCCTCTTTCAACTAAAGAGCCCGGGATTTTTGTCGCCACGAAATCTCCTCCATATTAGCAATCTCAGCAAGAACTGCCTAACAGGAAGCTCTCCTAATACAAAGAGACTCCACATTCCCGCTCGCCTCCTCAAGTCGATCAATCTCAGAAAATTCAGCAGACACTATTCTTCCTCCATTCAAGGTTTCCAAAAACATCCTTATTCCACTGCTTAAGAGCGAGTTTGAGAGCTCTTAATTTCTGTGTTAATATGAAGCTGTGCGCATCTATAACGATCGCTCCCTCCCACCAATATCAAACTTTCCCTTGGAAGTCCTCCGCTCTCAGCCACATATTCTCAAAACGGAATGGGGTTCTTCGAGAACACAAACCCCCCACAATCCAATACTAAAGGAACATGATCAGAGGTAACCCTTTCTAATACTGCCTGAACAACATCCGGGAATTTTTCTTCCCACTCCCCAGAGATCAAGAATTTGTCCAGTCTTGAGAGAGTAATCGGGTCCCTGCCATTAGACCAAGTATAGGTTGCACCTTCCATTGGTAGATCAATGAGAAGGTGCTCATCAATGAAGTCAGAAAATTGATCCATGTCTATGGACCTTCTTCCCCCAGTAGACCTCTCTGACAGGAACCTGATTGAATTGAAATCCCCACCCAAGCACCAGGTTAGAGAACATAGTCCTTGAACATAACTTAGCTCCTCCCATAAAATAGGTCTCTCATTATCAACAACAAGTCCATAGACCCCAGAAAAGACCCATCTGAAATTATCCTCTTCCATCTTGAACTCACAGGAAACAGAAAATCTCCCCTTCGGCCCTTCCACACATTCATTCTAAACAACCATCTGCTATCCCATATAACTAAAATTCCACCCGAAGAACCTGTAGCATCCAAGGCCTCCCATTCCACAAACCTTCCTCCCCACAAACTTCTAACCACCCCGTTAGTAATAGATGCCATCTTGGTTTCTTGCAAACAAACAACTTGGGCCCCCATTTCCTTAAAGCTACCTTCACCACCCTCCTTTTATTAGGGTCATTGAGACCACAAACATTCCAAATAATGATTCATAGCTTCATAAAAAACCAGATAAGATTAACTCTCCTCCCCCCTTCTTTAAACTCCTACTCCTAGTCCTGCCCCTTTCCATCAACACACCTTTCTTCTTGTCGTAATTGACGTCAGAGATGAGATTCTTGATCTCTTGAATCCCTTTCCAAGACGATATGGGCTTCATGTTTCTGACTTCATTAGTGACTGCTATTTCACTTCCTTTCACAATTGCTTGAAGAATAGATAAAGTCTGATCATTATTACCCTCTGAAGATACTCCCAACAGCTCACTAGTAGCTCCAAGGTTGTCAACCACCCAATCTCTCCCCAAATCAGTAACCTCACCATCAAGTCGCACCACTGCCAGGGGTTCCTCCACTAAGATGTTAGAGTCATTCTCCTGCCAAGGTGCAAGCTCATTAGAACAAACCTGTTGGATAGACCCCAAGTCATCAACCATCTCCTCTTCAATCTTTCTGTCATCCTCATAAACAGAATCTGAATCTGTAACAAAGTCTCCCAATCTGACAGAACTACCAAACTCATTCTCCTCATCCGTTGCAAAAGGCATGCATTTAAGACCTTTCAACGCAACATTTAATCAAAGCTCTTTGAACAGAGCCACAGCCTCATCATTGGACAGCTGAAATCGCAAATCTCTTCCCACACAGACCGTAACTTCTTCAGACAGATCCTTGACTGCACTGCCAGCGATATCCAATTGCCCAAGAAAAGCAAACTCACAAACTTCCTTTCCATTCAACCCAACATTATGTTCAGAATTCAGAACTGGCAACCCACCCCTCTTCTCCATAACATCTGCATCACCCCGCAACACCTCACAAGGAGGTGTAGAAGAAGAGGGTGGAACAATAAAGGGGCTCCAAAGATCTGAAGACATACCTGACCCGTTAGTAGGAAACCACTTCTACTTTTCTTTTCTTGACCATCGAACTCCATGTTGATTACTATGAGAGTCCCGAGACGAAAATCTAGTACTTCCCTTCAGCTGTGAATTATCAGAAAAGAATGTAGAAGAAATGTCGGCACAACACTGAGAATGACGAAACCCCTTGTCGACAACTCTTTCACCAGCCGCGACAGCAGAGAGATTCATCCATCTCCTCTTCTCTGACGAGTTCCAAACAGTTCCAGGGAGGCATTTTAAACGTGGACTCTGTAAAGTGCTAATATCATGAGAGAAGGTGGACTGGGCTTTGAATTAAGAAAAGAAATGGGCCCCCGCGTAACCTTACTCTTTGGATTGCTCGATGTGGCCCATTACACAACCTCTCAGCTTCATGGTTGGGCTTTGCCAAATTATGTGAGCTGGACTTCTCATTCAGGAAAGAGATTGATAATTGGTTGTTGCCCCAATTAACAGCCCTTTTAATCTTCTCAGGGCCGTGATGAGTTTGCCCATTAGACAAAGAAAGCCCAAAACATGCTTGGGCCCATACTTAGGCCAAGCAGTGGCTCCATTAATGCCACGATCTCGGCCACGTGGTTGGTGATCTTTGAAGCGGTCAAAACGAGAAGGTGGGCACTGATCAAGGGCGTGATTGACACGGCTCCTAAATATGCCCTTTCTACTCGCTTCTGAGGGCCGTGATGAGTTAGCCCATTAGACAAAGAAAGCCCAGAACATGCTTCGGGCCCATACTTAGGCCCAGCAGTGGCTATTGCATGAGTGGCTCCATTAATGCCACGATCTCGGCCACGTGGTTGGTGATCTTTGAAGCGGTCAAAACGAGAAGGTGAGCACTGATCAAGGCGTGATTGACACGGCTCCTAAATCTGCCCTCTCTACTCGCTTCAGGCACGTGGGCCTGCAGTCGGCTCTTTCCTTTGAGGCCCTGACGGAACTGTAAATTCCGGCGACCCCCTTTAATAATCGTTACAACATGCGGGATGTGAGGGCTCTCCCCAACGCCATAGTAAGACTTCGGGAGGATGCGGGGTGTGACTTCCTCAATCAAATTGACCTTAAAGGCCACTCTTTGATCCTCAACAAAAACATATTTTAGGCATCATTTTTCCAACAGAGACGTAGAGAAGGATTCTCTCTCCACTCGCCGAAACGTCCGCCTCAACACCTCTAAATCCACCACATAAATTTCCGATTGCTTCAAATAACTTATGGCACCAAAGATGAAGGGGCAAGCCAAACAACATCACCCTTCGTATGTTACGATCTTTCACTGCAGAACATCCAACCGCAAAGTACCAGATGTCGATGGATAACAATGCTTCGCCCCATCTCTTCCTTCGTTCATCCAAAACCCTTAAAGCCTCAACCTCCGACGGAAATCTAAACAGAAATAGATCGTCGGGAAGGGAAGAAACTTTCACCCCGCTCGAAATCTTCCAAACTTTCGTCGCCCACGCCTTAATCCCTTCAATACACCCCACATCTCTATCAAAACGACCTACCAGACATGATTGTAGAGCAGATTCACACTCCTTAATGCTTTGACGATCAACCCTGAAAACCAAATCATCGCCTATAGAATAGCTTTTGATATCTCCATGGAAGTCACTTAGATAGGATCGATGCATAACAGAATTCCCTGCCGAATAGCCAAAGATCCAACAACAAAGAGCATAAACATAAACGGCAGACGCCGGAGTGAAAAACTCCGACGTCAAAAAAAGTAGAGAGAGAAGAGAGAAAAGTCAAACATGGTCAACTATTGTTTCTAGCCTTTTTGACATTCAAAACTTATCCAATGACTGATTAATTGAATACATAAGTAAATTAAAAAGATAAATACACTAATTTAGCTAACCATTCGAATTGATGTAGTGAAAAATTCTATCATTTTGATCTTGACTCGTTCATGTCACATGTTTGTAATATGCATTTTTCATTGCTCGCACGCCTTAATTCACTCAAGCTCATGCCTTACGTGGCCCCTTGCACTTGGACTCCAACAAATCTTGACACCTCGTGCACCTTGAGCCTTTAATAACTTTGAGGTGACGCAAGAGAATTACTTCTAGTTAGAATACAAAGGTCATGAATTTTTTCATTCCTCTCTCCTATAGGTTTAGCCAAATACCGAACCATGTATTTTTTGTGTTGTTCATATTGGTTTATTTTTTTGCTGCCTCTGTGGTTTAAGCTCATAAACAAGATCCCACTATCTAACTTAAGTAGGCAGGTGATGTGTCCTAAAGTATGCTCCTCATATAAAGGATTTTAAATATATAGGATCTTCATATTTGGATTTAGATATTCAGAGATTTAGAAAAGAAATTGGAGTCCTAATATGTGACTATGAAAAAATAATCAGGTTTTTTTGTGTTAATGGGATAAATACCGATCGGTGATTAAAATCTGAAGAAAGGAAATTCATGCGTGCTTTGTGCTCTCTCTCTCTCTCTCTCTCTCTCTCATGTTTCTCTTATTTATTTCTCTTCTCCTCTGGTGTCTCTCTAATCCTCTAAACCTCGTCTCTTTCTTCTCTTTCTCATATCGAGTTTGCTCTATGATAAAATTCTCTCTCTCTTCATATTACTTACCTCTTCTTCCTCCTCCATTGCTTTTATAGAAACTTAGCGAACATCACATTAGTTCGGTATTAGAGCTAAAAATTCATCAAGATTATCGAAACCTTGGAATATCTTCTCAAGATTACAGAATAAGAAAACACAACCATTAAGTTTTATCCAGTAAGAGGGAGCTGATGTATCCTAATATCATGGACCTCTTGAGTCTGGCAAACTCTACCATAGTAACAAGCCTATAAAGTTATTTGACATGGTACCCAAAAGATGAAGTCACAAATAGTCATATCGAGTGCTTCTCAAATTAATTTTCATTGGTGTTTAGAAGTGGACTTTGGGTCTTATATTTCATTATGTTGGGGAAGGTTATTCTTAAAAGGAAATAGGTCCCTTGGGGAAGAAAACAAACTCCCCTTCGAGTCTTTGAGATGGAAGGATGTTGGAGTGAACATATAAGAGAGTCACTCTCTCTCTATCTCTCTCTCTCTCTATATATATATATACATATATGAATATAAACATGCTCCGGTAATGTCGCCTTCTCTTTCTCGCCTTTCCTCTCATCTTCTCTTTCCATCTATATAAATAAGACAGCTGTGCAACATGATCCCTGGGCAACAATTTAGATGATGCCTTTGCTATAGTGAATACACGTGATTTTCTTGTTTAAGAAACGGTAAAGAGGCATGACCCAGCAATCTACAGGTACTTCATCAACAACACATAGCATAAACTAAATAAAAACTAAGTTTACCAGGCACAAAGAAAGCAGGTTTGTGTGCCATATCTCCCACCACAGAAGTTTCTAGTAGTTGCCCCTTCAAAATCAAACAGATTATAATTCTGCAAACTATGAGATGTTTGTGCATGTTAGAAAATATATATATATATATATATATATATATATAGACACAATAACTTGAAAGAGAGAAGAATGGAAGTAGTTACTAGCAAACCTTCCGAACATAATCTAGAAGATCCATCGCATATGCAATACCCACTATATTATCAACACGTTGTTCAAAAACAGGCACCCTACAAACACATTTGTATAATTATTTAACATGTAGGGAAAAAAAAAATTACTACATAGAGAACTCTGAAGAAATTGGACCTACCTGGAATACTGATGAGTCACCCACAAGGTGTGGAAATCAACAAGTGTTGCGCTAGCATCGATGGCAACAACATCAACAAGAGGTGTCATCACCTCTCGAACATGAGTGTCTTTTATTTCCAACACATTTTCAATCATATCCTGTGACCAACTTCTCTCGATATTAGCACCCTATCCACAGATCTAGGGAACAGAATGGATCTTTATACAGAACTTCTAAAAGGTCTAAAATTTACACTTATTGAAAAAATAATAATAATAATAACAGGTCTGGAAGTAGATAACTAATAAGCATAAAGCTGATGAACTATGGTAATAAAATCAGATGGTAAAGTTACTTCACTACAAGCACCTTGCATAAATCAAATGAGACCCCCAGATGGTTATAGTGTAACTGGGCGGGGCCAAGGATTTGAGGCCGGAGGCCGAAGCCCAAAGCCCAATCACATTGGGTTTTGACCAACCATCACCAATCACTCCAAGAAATTATTCCTAAGGACCAGGCCTGGAAGGCTGGACCTAGCCCATGACCTGGCTAGGTTTCAGTCGTTGGGCAGAGCCTCAATCTCTATCACAAGCTCTTTTCTCAAAATTATTTTTCCCTTGCCTTACTTTTCTTCTTGTTTTATATCCAATTCTTTATGCTCTTTTTTGACACTTTATTCAACTAGGTGTTGATATCAGGCTGGTGTGGCCAACCAGTGGCCAATGCATCCCATGCATTCCAGGCCCAGGCCCGATGAGCCAAATATAAACTTTGCCAGGCCCAGATCAGACGAGCCAGACATAAAATTTGCCAAGCCCAGGCCCATCCAGTGTTATGGGCCGACAAGCTTGCTAGCTGAGAGTGGTGGCCCTATTGACAAGATATACAATCGAGCCTATTCTAATTTGGCCTCCAATCAAGCCCACTTTTGGTACCAAATCGGTTAATTTTGGATCATACCGAGCCACGTTTAAATAACTTTGCATATTGTATTTGTTACAGTATTTTAGAATAAGTTTTGTACATGATTTCATTATATGGTTTTTTTATCTTGTTTTTGGAAGATATTTTGATACTTTCTGTTCGTTTTCCAGAGATCTCTTATCTTCATGTAGCTTATTTTGGAAAAGAAAATAAAAAATTAATCACCACCCGACCAACCTGAGCCTAACCCTGCTGGTTGAGCTCTGGTTAGACTCACTGGATTGGAAGTTGAGTGCTTGAGCTGAGGTGTATGTGCTTTGGGTTGAGCTTGGGTTGAGTCCTCAACCCATCCTAATTGCACCCGTACGTTCAGGTGCCTTAGGCTTTTCCTTGTACAGTGGTTAATTTGCTCACTAGTTGGAGAGAAGAATACTTTAGGTAGCAAGAGGACTTGGCATGCTGCCCTGCTTTGCCTTATGGAGTACTTTGAGGGAAAGGAAAAATTAGTCCTTTAAAGGAGTGGAGAAACCAATTCTCAAGTTGAAAGAGCATTTACTTTTGGTCTTTTATATCATTGGGTGAGAGGAAGAGTGCACCATTCCCTAGAGGCTCTTTTAGATAATTTAGATTCTTTTGTTACGCCTAACCAGGTGTATAGTTTTTATACTTCATTGATCACATGCATTTGGATTGCACTCCTTTTTGGCACCCATTAGTGAATTACTTGCACTCATTCAAGGACACTAATGGTTGGGGAGAGATGGACGAGAGGAGGGATAAAACAACTTCGCGTTTGGTTGGAGGGAAGGGAAGAGAGGGAGGAAACAAGGAGGGATAAAGCATCCCTCCTTCCTTTGCATTTTCCTATCCGCCCAAAATTAGGGGAGAAGAGGAGAGAGAAAGAAGGATAATAACTAACAAATATATAATTCCCATTTTTAACCTTCCCAAGAGTTTGCTTGTTAAACACTACTATGTTAATGAGGGTATATTGGTAAAAATAATATAAAAGCTCTATTTCCTTTCCTTCCAACCAAACAAAAAAAAAAAAGTGTCACCCCATCTATCCTTCCTACTATCCATTCCATCCAACCAAACAAAAAGTGAGGGAGACACCTTCCCTTCCCTAGGGATGCCTCATCCTTCCCTCCCCCTCTCCCTTCCATCCCTCCTACCAAGCGGAGCATAAGAAAGTCTGGAAGAATTTTACTTATTGTAATGTGCATGTGACTGATCTCCTTTGATTGTCAGTTGTAACTTTTTTAAGGAAGAGAGCATTAATTTATCAGAAGTGCATTCAAAGAATGGCTCTAGAACATCTCAAACACAAAATACTATGTGTGTACACAGATGGTGCTTCATGTACAATTCGACAGTCAAGTATTTGATGGCAGAGCCATGAATAAAGTAATGAAGAAGTTCACCAAATTTTTTAGTTACTCATCAAGAAACTGACCTCCTAAATTTATACCTAGCTTCATACCAAGGAATACCACAAGCATATAAAATATAAAACAAAACCCCATTCTTTACCTGTTCTTCCTCTTCTATTGCCCCACTCAATTCTGCTCCTCGCAACATCAACTTCAATTCATCTTCAGTAACATATGGTTCACTAGTACATCAAAAATTGACAAGGTGAAGTACCGGCATAAAATCAAAGAGACAAAATGGCAATTAATCATGTAATTATAATCAAGTATTGAGTTTGAGATAAAGGCAGAACCAGAACATCATATATCAAGTGGAAATATAAACAAAAGGCATTATTGATATGTAAGGGAAAGCAGAATGAGATTCATGTTACCCCAAATAGATGTTGTAAGGTACCAAGGACTAATTGATTTTGTTAATATCATTCTTGTCAGGGTAAATCTTAACAGGGGAAATTGTGTAATTAGAGAAACAGCTCATAAATGTTTTGCTATCATTCTTGTCAGGGTGAATCTTAACAGGGGAAATTGTGTAATTAGAGAAACAGCTCATAAATGTTTTGCTTCATTGCATCATTAACCTTACCACAACTTTTTTAAAAATAAACTTATACTGACCTCTGCTGAGGTTAAACAAATTTACAGAAACCTCCTTTATGTTTTCAAAAATTACATTGACCCCCCCAGTCAAAGACATCTGTTTGATGGTGTAAAATATTAGCTTGATTTTACAAAGCCCTCTATATTAATGAAATATTTTCATATAAATATCATGTGGAACAAAAAGGCCAAAATGACACTATAGCCCATTACATCAGTTTTCTTCTGTCACCGGCCACTGCGACAGCACATGCCTCTCTCTCTCTCTATTCCCCTGCAACTGCCCAACAGAAAAACATTACTTCATCCCTAGCTTTGAAGATTCTCATGTCCCACAAGTGTTATAGAAACAAATTGGTAGACTAGCCTTCTATATTAATAAAAGGCCCTTATGGAAAAGAGAACTATGTGCCATCTCCAAAAAAGAGCACTAGTGGGACATAATCACCTTCTTCCAAAAAATAAAGATGTTCCTAAGTATCTTCTGGTATCGTTGGGATTCTCCATGGCCTGTACTCAACTGTTATGGGAACAGAGGACTCCCGACTTTTGGGATGCCTTCAAAGCTAAATTGGCTTTTATAAAGCCCATTCAATTGTTAGCCTAAATTATGGATTTGTGATTCTCTCAATTTCATGGAGTGGAATCAAATCGAATCGAATCAAATCAGAAAAGAGAAAAAATAATAAATGAATAAAAATTTACAAAGTGGGGTATTGGGTCTTCATTTACAAAAGCTGTAAGTAAGCCAGTCACAGAGGAGGGAAAAAAAAAACTCTGATATTACCAAGCACAAAACCCCTCAAGGCTAAATGGTTCTCATTGGTTGAGCTTCTTGAGTTGGATTTTGATTAAACTGGGTTTTTCTTAGGTTGAACATGTGTAGATTTGATGCACTGACTGAGCAAGGAATTTATTCAAGTGGGGGCAACTTTGGACGATAATTATAAAACAAAATAATAATAATAATAATAATAATAAATATCAGAGCCGTGATAATATTTATGTTCAATATATTGACTATTTTGTAGAGAGAAAAAAAAAAAAAAAAAAAAAAAAAAAAAAAAAAAAAAAATTGGGAATTACTCTGTCCTGTTGATTAAATAAAAAATAAAAATTGTTGCCAAAAGAGTGAGGAAGTGAAATACATACAGAGAGAGAGAGAGAGAGAGAGAGAGAGGTAGTGCATACTGATAATCAGGAATTTGTATAGTTACTTGCAATCAGAAAGAAAGACAGAATTAAAAAATACAAAAACCCATCAATCTTTTTTTTTTTTTTTTTTGATAAGTAAAATGTATTAAAAGGCGTTCAAAAGGGGAACGCGTCCCAAGCTATACAAAAAGCTGAACCTATGATCTCAAGGAACCCAAAAAGTCCACAAGATCCTCAATCGAGGAGAAATCTCTCCCCCCAACCCCAACAAAAAAGAGCACAAATAATAGAAAATTTCAACACCCCAGTGGAGGATTCCTTCCCATCGAAAGATCTTCTATTCCGCTCTTTCCAAATGCTCCACCAAACACAAAAAGGGGTTACCCTCCAAAAGACTCTCGCCTGAGCCCCCACCCATTGGCCCCTCCAAATATCCAGCAAGTCCCGAGATGTCCGAGGCATGACCCAATGAATACCAAACAGATCAAAAATGAGACTCCAACAATCATGAGCCACAGAACAATGCAGCAGTAAGTGATCCACTGAATCCCTATTCAATTTACAAAGATAACACCGATTAACAATAATATGTCTTCGCTCCCTCAAGTTATCCAAAGTCAAAATCTTACTCCAAACTGCAGTCCACACAAAAAAGGCTACCCTAAGAGGCGCCTTGGACAACCACACCGTCTTCCATGGGAAGGAAACACCGTGAAAACCAGAGAGGCACACAAAAAAAGACCGGACCTAGAATAACCCCTGAGAAGAACACACCCAAATCAGGGAGTCAACACCAGTGCCCTCCACCTCCTGTCTGTATAAGAGAGCCAACAAGCCAGTGACATCATCCAACTCCCAATCCTGAAAAGATCGCCAGAATCGCACATCCCAAAATAACCTCCCGCTATCAAGACGATAGCAGTTAGCAACCATAAATGTTTGTCAACAGCAATCCTGAACAGCTTTGGAAACAAAAGAGCCAAAGGCCTATCCTCGCACCAGGGATCCTCCCAAAACCGGACAAACCTTCCATCCCGAACTCTAAATCTAACATGTTTGGAAAACTCGTCCCATCCTTTTCCAATGGCCCTCCACACCCCTAGTCCACTAGCAGACCTAACAGACCTAGCTGACCACCCCCCTCTCTCCTCCCCAAAACAACAAGAAATAACCCTTCTCCATCAATCTTATCTCAAATAAAACCAATCAAAACCAGAATAATCAGTTCAGACCTCCAACAAACATGGGTGTTCGGTCAATTACATATGGGTTTTCGGTATTTCGAGCCGATTGGTACAGAAGTGAGAGAACGAGCACAGACTATCCTTTGATTTGGCTCTGCAAAGGCTCTATATTTTCCAAAATGTTTAGACAATACATGTCACCTATACATGTACAAAAGAGTGTGTGGTGAGAGTATATATGTAGTGAGTGTTTTCGAATCTCGGAGTGTTGAGGAGACGATGGAAGATAGAGATTAGACAGAAGAGAGAGAGTCAAGTCCAACAAAGAGCAGATCTGATTTTCGACAGTGCTTGGACACCAACCATCATCAATGGCTGATTTGGGATGCAACGGTGGTGGGTTGAGTTCTAGAAGAGAAAAGCGTCCAGGACCAGATCGTTGAAAAGGAGGGTTTTTTAGTGATGTGAATACACACCTTTTTTTGGGGGGGGAATCGAATGCCCATTCAACCTTTTGAGAAGTGGAATGGTTTGTGGGAAAGCATTCCATTGGAATGGCCAAGTTTGTAGATACAGAGATATACACATATAGTTGAGGTATTGTAGATTATTGAGGATCTATTGTGCACACACACACACACACACAGAGTTGAGAGAGAATGATGACCTTACATAGATAATACATATGGATAAAGAGAGACATATAGAGGACGACACGCTGCTTGAGGAGAGAGAACATTAGGTTGAAGAAAGAGCATGATGTAAACCAATACACAAGTTCATATAAAATGCAGTAAGGATAACTTTGTCTTTTCAAACAGGTTACAATATGAATAAGCGCATTAAAGTCATTTCATCCCAAATATAAATAGTGATATTATATTTGCAATCATACAAGGGCAAAATGATCATATTTGAATTTCTGCTTGCTAATGTCAGCTAACCATCAGTTAATGATAAAAGAGGGAATGTTTCTATAACAGGTAAATCTCAAAGGAGGTGGTCAGAGTATTTTTTTTTTTTTTTTGGCAATTGCCAATCTTATATCCCAAAAGGGCATGTGGTTAGTGAAATCATTTATGAACACCCACACAAGGATTACTCATTAGTAACTACATCCTTGCAAACACGGATAATTAGGATAATAATGATTTCAAATAAAAGTACAAATCGTGTCACAAAGCACTAAAAAAAAAAAAAAAAAATTCACCACGATTTTCGTCAATTTACTTTTGTTCCCTGCTCTATGAAAAGAACATAACATTTTTAAAGATAATAAAAGCATAAAAGCAACATGAGATGGAAGTTACAAAAAGATCAATGTACTGATGATAAAGCAAACCTTCTTCCTTTCAAGCCGAGCATTTTAAGCATTCCCATTGATAGATATGTAACAACTCTTCCGACGGGATATAACACCACGGAAAGCCACGCCACTGGCCTGACCTAGAGGCATTGGAAGCTATACTTGTCAAACAAATTTGAAAGCATCAATATTCACACATCACATGAGAAATACTCTATTTTCCCTTTTTCCCCTTCAGATAAAACAACTATCTAGCATTTCATATGTAACCTTTCGTTCATTCAAAGAAAGAAGCAACATATAGACTTACCACAACCCTAGCAACCTCCGTGGCATTATGAACAGCTATACTTTTTGGAGTGATTTCAGTGAGGAGCAAAACAGCAACCTGATACCATTAAGGGGGAAAAAAAAATATCTGGTTTAATGACACATTGCAGTGAACCAACATAAAAAGTATTTCTGCATGCATATGTATGCATATATACCTGCCAAAATGGTTTCATCAAGCAAAGGAGAGAGCTGAGAAAACACAACATTTCAACTTGCCAATCTTATACTAAAACAGGATCGGGTAAAAAAAAAAAAAAAGTGTTCAGAATTTATATATGTCAGTTCACCATTTTCAAGTTTTGAAGAAAGTAGCTTATATCCAAAACTATGTGATCTGGGAAAAAGAAACTATGTTAATTAATGTGACGAAGTAAAATTAAGAAATAAGCTGTGCTAAATATATGTGACAAAGGAAAACGCTCATTTCCGACTTTATAATCCTAGTGAACAACTATACCCTCCTCCAACCTCCTTGTGTCAGTTCTTTAATCAGCATGGTGGAGGTAATTAAAAAGCATGTTCTGTTAATGATGCCTAAACAAGGACAAAAGCTATACACTCCCATCAAGAAGTTGTGTGACCTTCAACACCACTAGAGCTAAGCTCTTGGTAACTGCAAAACTATCATTAATAGAAGATTATAAAATCAGGAAAAGCATTAAATGGACAAAAGACTTAGTAGTCTTTATATTCAAAAGACCATTGTGCTGGAAAAAAATAGATAATATCAGGTCCTATATTTTTAATTTTTCTCATTTTTTAAGTGTTATCTCTACTTACTAATTCCACATCACTGCTATAATAAGTTCATCACTCCCAATTTCTTCATAACTCATTAGGGCTTTTCTTATTTAATAATCCTTGAACACAAGTTTTCCCTGTATAAAATGTCCATGTTTAACAAATATTGTTTGGTTTAAGTCCTTAATGCATTTAAGTTGATCCATATCTTGTAGTACTCTTATGCTATGTTTGATTGGAAAGAAGGATTAAGGAGGGAGGGAGGGATGGATGAGAGGAGGGATAGATGTTGTTTCTCATGTTTGATTGGAGGGAAGGAAAGAGAGGGAGGAATCATGGAGGGATGAAGCATCTTTCCTAACCTAAAGGAGGGATGAAGCATCTCTCCCAACCTATTGTTTTTTTATCCGTCCAAAATTGGGTGGAAGAGAGGAGGGAAAGAAATTCTAACCCAAAAAAAAGTAATACCAATATTAACCTTTAGTTATTTACTAAATAACCTGTTAAACCCTACAGGAAATTATCTGAGACATAATGAGGGTATATTGATAGAAAAATATAAAAACTCTCCTTCCCTTCCGTCCTACCAAACAGAAAAAGGGTGTCACTCCGTCCATCCTTGCTACTATTCCTTCCATTCAACCAAACAAAAAGTGAGGGAGACACTTTCCCTTTCCTATAGATGCCTCATCCATCCATCCCTCTTCCAACTCTCTCATCCATCCATTTTTCCATCCGTCCAACTAAACGGAGCATTAAACGATATCAGTTTTCTGCTCTTTTTCCAAGAAATGTATTTGCTATAACTACATCATATGCTTTTACAAATTCTAAATGTTTCTCCTGCTTCATTTCATTTCCAAAACCATGTCTCCATGAACTCATCTTCCTACATGACCGTTGAAGTCATCTCCTATAAATACATTTTCGTGACTCAATATATTTTGCATTGTCTCATTCTCATCTAGTGATTCTTAAAATGTCATTGTTGTTTTACAATCTAGTAGAAGACTGTTATGTACTTCTATGGCAATCTTCAACTCATTGTGCAAGATAAAGAGTCCTGCAAAAGTGTATGATTCAATATTCTCTATATTTCCCCTTGTGCCTCTCCACCATCTGTTCATTACTGCACCTCTCTACCGTCGGTGAGTTCCACCTCTCCCCACCCCCCCCCCCCCCCTCTTCTCTGTGTGTGTGAAGGTCACGATAGTCAAAATCCAGGTTCAGAGTTCAGACACCATTTCATGTTATTGATTCAAAATATCAAAGTTGTATATTTCTTCTACGGCAGATCTGTGTATATGAGAAGAAGAAAAGTGGGTCTGGTAGAACCCGCATGGCAAATTCAATGAGCAAATTTCACAAGTCATCCTAGGCTTTAAGTTTCCAATCCACATTACTAAAGGGTTTATATTCCATTTTGGTTAGTTATTCTTTTCCTTCTCTTCTTCTTAACCAGGCCAAGACAGGTAGGTCTGCAAACGAGCCGAGCATTGGCCTGTTCGAGCTCGGCTCGTTCGTTTAGCAGAGTGCTCGAGCTTGAGCTGAGCTCCTACTTCAGTGTCCAAACTCGGTTTGCTACTGTTCACGAGCATGTCGAGCTCGGCTCAAAGCTCGTTTACAATCACACATATATAAGCAGAAATTTACAAACAAATTAGACATCTAGGCATATAATATATACATATATATATGTATACACGCTCGTCCCTAATTGTTTTGGGATCACTGGGTTGCGATTCGACCATCAGTATCGATCTCCATGATATTTTGCCATCAAAAGGTACTTGAGGTGCAGATCTAGTATCTACCATTGATACCAAGGGAAATAGGAGGATGAGTTCAGAGTTTTGAAATCCAATGTGAGAGAGGGATGTTTCCAGTAGCCGGCGATTGTTTGTTTGACCGTTGTGGGAAGCGATACTGTGGCTGCTAGTTTTTGTTGTAAACGATTAAATGAGACTAGGTTAGGGTTGGATGATATATAGGATGGCTGAGATCTAAAACTGAATTGGATTGGGCTTAATGCATTATTTAAAAGGACCAAAAATTTTATGTTCAACGGAAATGGGCCCAAAATTATGTAGTTATAAATATATATATATATATATATATATATATATATATATATATATAGTGTGTGTGTGTGTATCTATATAATTATATGTATTTACAAGCTATAAAAGAGCCGATTGACGAGCTTGTTCATGAACGTGTTCACAAACTAACAAGTCGAGCTGAAGGGTGTTTGAGATTGGTTCGTTTATTAATCAAACAGCTAAAACTTGTTTGGGCATGGTTCGTTTATCTAATAAACGAACACGAACCAAGGTCTTAGCGAGCCGAGCTCGAGCTGTTCGTCGAAAGCTTGGCTTGTTTGCAGGCCTAAAGACAGGGTAGCTACCGAGTCATTAGTTCTAATAATAAATGGGGATGGGATTAGGAGTGCAAACCCGTCCCAGGTTTGGGACAGGAATGCATTGGGGCATTTATAATTGGGACAAGCTAGGGTCTAGGATAAACTGACGGTCCGGTGTTATTAAAGGCCCAAGGCGCACCAAGGCGCACCAAGGCGCTAGAGGTCCTTTGGAGCCTAGGCGCGAGGCGCGGGCCTGAGTGAAGTGAGGCGCACAATTGAAAATTTAAACTACCATAATAACATTCATATCTCATAAGTCATATCAATATTCCAAAAATTAATATCAAATATAAAAAAGTAAATCCATCAACTATACAAGCATCCAACAACCATAAAAAAAAGCACAAATTTGTTTTCTTGAAAGGCAAAGCAAAATGTGTTTTTTTGATTGGCAAAACAAAGCACAAAAAGAAATAAATATGTTAACAAAAAAAAAAAAAAAAAAAAATTTGTTAAAAAAAAAAAAAAAGAGAGAGAAGAGAACTAGACGAAGAGAGAGATGTAAACAAAGATAAGAAGAGAGGGAAGATCTAGAGGAGAAGAAAGAAAAAAAAGAAAGAAAGAACTGGCGTGGCTTCGTCATTCATCTCTGCAACTAGGGCTTCGTCTTCGTCTCACAATCTCATTCTATCGCTGTTTGGTTAAACTTTGACTCTTGGGTTTCTTATTTTTTTATTCTTTTGTACAAAATTCCTTCTATCATATTCTTGGGCTTTCTATTTTGTTTATTAAGTTACAAAAAGTACCCTTTTTGACTTAAGAAATAGAACAATCGTATTTTTTTAAACAAATATCAGTGAGGCGCGCCAACCAAGGCGTGCGCCTAATAAACATCAATGAGCCTGGGATGACAACAGGCACTACACCTGAGCCTCGAGCCTGGACGCACCTTTAACAACACTGTGGCCGGTCCCATCCTAGACCCGCCCGTTGCCATCCCTACTATTGTGTCAAACAATTTTGCAATGCACAAATTCAAAGTATCAAACTTTTAGATTACAAAAGTTCGTTAGCACAAGGATTTAATAAGGCAAATACTCTTGCTCTTCCTAAAGGCTTGAAGATTTTTAAAGCCAAGTTATGGAGAATATTCACACAAAGGATAATCTTCAAACAGATTCTAGGATACATGCAAGGTTAAGGACCCATACTTCACTTGCACAAATCAAGTTTTGCACAAGTCACCATGTGGAAACTTCATATATTTTGTTAACTGAAATCTTAGGAGCAACAAATATAGTGTGATTTCTCTTGCTACCAAGGAAAAATAAGCGAGCATGGTGATTCACATTAGTAAAATCACATGTTTTTAGAGGAAGCAATAAATATGCTCGTAAAGCAAAAGAACTCCCAAGTAAATTTTAGACCAATGACTAATGTAAATCAATTAAAAAGTGTTTGAATATGTAGATTTGTGGTGTTAAATTAGAAAACTCACTAATAACTACAAGGATTTGATATTTAGAGAATATTGTTCTATGGCCTCAAGCACTGCAGCATGTTCTCGTGTCTGGACCTACAAACCATTTTTATCTCAAAACTTTTCATCATTGAATTTAGTTTCTTTAATTGGTTAAACAGAGAGAATTGGACATACAGTCATTACTCCAGTTGCTGCACTCACACCAGCTTCACCAAAGATAGCTGTCGCAGCATCAGTGACTAGCGCTGTTGCTCCAATATTAACCACACTGAGTACATAAAGAAAATCTATAGTAAGAAATAATATTATTCAAGCTGAGAAAACCAGTTATCAATACAAATATAAAGAGAGTAGTACGTTGTGCCAATAAGTATAGTTGTCAGAAACCGTGTAACATCACTACGAAGCATTTTGAAAACACCATTCTCGGACTCTTTTTCAGCCAACTCACGCACCTGATGTACATCAATAAAAAAAATAAAAAATAAAAAAATAAAAACAAATTAGATACTTCTCTTAGAAATGGTGAAAAGAACTAAAAAGCTCATGATTGCAAAGTCCATACTGGCTAGATCATTTACTATGAAATGAGACAAAAAAAAAAAAAAAGTAGCCTACACTCTTAAAAGCACCCAACAGCTTTTCTTAAAAACAGAGAATTACAACAAATCCTTCTTCAGTCATTCATACACCCAGAGGCCCAATAAAGATGGATAAACTAAGTCAAGCTTCTCCAGAGTTGGAAAATGTCAATCAACACTGTATAAATAGAAGGATCTATATTTATTACTATTTATATCAATTAAATAAATTGACCAAGAAGCAAATGGAGAACAAAGAAGGAAACTAAATTGAAAAGAAAAAAATTATGTAATAAGCTCCAGCCATTGTGGGCGTAATCATAATTTGCAAGGAAAATTATGGGGCGATTACAGGCCTAATGGTATAGGTTTTAGAATACAGTTTTCAAAAACCCTAAAAGCATAAAATATAGTTTTACAAGAACTACTCCGAATAAAATATTTGTTTCGGAGTATTTGAAATTGAGCTCTTTTTAACTCTGTTATCAAAGAACAGTTGTTTGAAAATGGCAACCAAACGAAGTTTTTAATGGTTTCCTTGATAGATTTCTTACCAACAATATGTGAAAAAAAATTAAAAACATTAAGAGTATAAAGTATGAACCTTCCAAGGCCAAAGTGTTGTAATTGCCGTCTCGGCCATGGAGAAGAATGCAGAGAGACCCAAAAGCGCAGCTAAAACCAAACCCTGCTCTTTAAAAACCTGAAGAACTTGCACCACCTTCGGCCAACAACTCCTCAATGACAAGACACTCTGCCCCAAAACCCCATAACCAGCATTCACAACATTTTCGACTGCGAATACTCTCCGGCAACCGAAAACCAAAACCCCACAAACCATTGCGGCCAAAACGAATCCTCGCTTTACCAAAACCTCAAAAAAACCCAAATTCACAAGCACAATTGAGTCTTTGACACTCTGACTCTCATTGCCTTCAACTACGACTGACCTCAAACGGCCTCTACCATCAAAAACCTCATTTCCCTTGAATTTCGAATTCAAGAAGTCTCTGTGAGCAAACGAACCACTATAACTGGTTGGAATTCGAGAAGGGTAACGCAGGTTTCTCGAATAAACCTTTGATATTCTGATCTGACGGTTACAGAAACCCAGAAACGAACGAGGTTTCGAACTGTATGTGGATCGATTGAGAAATGAGGCCTCGACTGCTACATCCATGTGGGTTCTGAACAATTTATACAAAACGTCGATAGAAATTGAATACAAATATATATATATATATATATATATATATATATAATTGAGTGTGTTGAGAGAGAGACGAATCTAGGGTTTCTTGCGGAGTTTAAAGAGGTGAAATCGAGTAGATGACGAGCTCATGCTCAAAGAGAATGAGAAAGAGGCTGTGGGGGTGACATTGTGGCCGGCGGTCCTTCGCTTCCAAGCTCGAACTCTGGATCCTTGCTCCCTGGAACAATATTTCGTCCAAGTGGGTGCATCGAAATGACATAATTGCCCATTACAACTTCAGTATTCCAATTTATCCTCTCTGGGTAATTTGGTGGATAATACATCCAGACAGAGGTGCTTTTTGATTAAATTGCAAATTAAGTATGAAAATTTTAAGATTATGATATTTGAAGTATTGAACTTTTTAAGCGATAATTAAAAAATAAATATTTTTTTTAAAATTTTTAAAATTTTCAGTTTTCACCATTCAGCGCTTAAATTAAAATTAAAGTGTTTGATAACATTTAGGTTATCACCTAAAATTTTACTAATAAGTTAAAATATGTCAAAATTTTAAGCGACATGGACCTTACTTAACACTTATAGTAGAGAAGAAGGTAAGTGATTTTAAACTTTAAAATATTTTGTTAATGACAATTTTTACACTCAAATGTTATAACTTAGTAGTATTAAGTGGTAAAAAAGTTTTTCAACATGCATTTTGTTATAATAAAAAAAAATTGCAAAAATATATATATAGAAAAACATAGTAAAAGATTATTATTTAAAGGTTTGAATATTGTGAAAAATATAAAAACATATATTATTATTCATTGAACTTGTACTTTTTTTCATTAAGTAGGAGTTACACGATAATAAGTTAAAAATTATTCTTGAATAAATTTATTTTTTGATTTATCTAATTCAGAAACTAGATAACAAATTTAAAATTAGCCGCAAACAAATATTTCTTTGATTATTCTAATTCTAGGACATTCATATAGCTTGAAAACTCAATTAAGCGCTTATCCAATTAAATATATTTAATAATGCAATTTGATTATCATTGAAAACGGTAAACGTCACTTAAAATGAAGTAAAATTTTAAAGTGATGGGGACATCACTTATCACATAATGTTGAATATTAAAAATTCAAAAATATTTACTTTTTAAATACCACTTAAAATCTTCATCACTTAAAATTCAGCTCTTAAAATCTTCAACAGTTAATTTTCAGTTTTATTAAACAACACCTTTATACCATTCTTTTTAGAAAGTTATCCATATATATATTTGTAACGACCCAAACCCGGAGATTCGATCGCTAACCAGATTCTTACCCGAACTCGAGGTCACACAAGGGTACTATGGTCATTTTATGTCATTATAATAGTCCTAGAATCCATATCATTTAGCGTGGTTAAATAATGCTTTAGAACCCAAAGGGGTAAAATAGTCATTTAGTACATTCATTATAGCTTTTAAACTCATTAAGGGTAAAATTGTCATTTTTTATGGTCATTCTATACTTTAGTTGAAGTTTGGGGTAATTGAATAAATATACTAGAAATTGGGGTCAAAGTACAAAATACTAGCTCATCTAATCGGGTATATGATTTCATCTAACCGATTAGATGGCTAGTCCAGAGAACCTGCAAGGCTGAAGAACCATCTAACCAGGTGGATAACCCCATCTAACTGATTAAATGGGGATGGATGGAAAATCCATATAACCCCCTAATATGCCCATCTAACTGACCACGACTTTTACCCTAGACAGACACAATATTGGTACTACTACAGGTTAAACACGATTAACTCTGGAGTTCTGGTAGATTCACAGCCATCACGGCTTTAAAACGCGTTGTGTCATAAAAGGGTGTTGAATTTACATGTAACACTTACCTCATCCACACCTAAGCGATGTGGAGTTGTGCACCTGTAACTCGCCTAATGTGATAGCCTACTGGTGTCACATGCACACGCTCACGCACACACGCCCACAAAGTCACCACAATCACCCCCTTTTGGACCCAACGTCCCCGTTGGCCACACTTCCGGCTGTGTCAGGCTCTGGTACCATTTGTAACAACCCTGACCCTAACCAAACACAATACTGTTCGTTTTTTGGCTCCCCCGGATCAGAGACTTCCCAAGGGGTCACTTATTCTAGTACTACTCCAGGTTAAGCACGTTTAACTCTGGAGTTCTGGTAGATTCACGGCCATCACGGCTTTAAAAAACATTGTGTCATAGAAGGGTATTGAATCTACATATAGCACTTGCCCCATCCACACCCAAGCGATGTGGGATTGTGCACTTGAAGCTCGTCTAGTGTGGTAGCCTATAGGTACTACCTGCACACGTTCACACACACCCGCCCACAAAATCGCCACACAAAATCATCGTACAACATACATACATGTCCAAAAGAATAAGATTACAATTTAAGGCCTCCATGGCCAAAATACAATAACTTCATATGGAGTTAACAAAAGAATAAGGTCATTTTACATAAAATCAGTTGTCCCAAAATGATGCATTTACAAAAGATACAAAAATGGTCATCAAAGCTACGTCTAAACTTGCGGGGGTATATCATCTACAACCTCCTTGCCGTGTCCTGAAAATGTTAGAATTTATGGTGAGTACCACGGCTCAATAGAGATAGCCTAAAGTACACCTCTTGTAATCCCGTAAATCACACCCAAAACATAAGATAACAAGAGAAGGGATCATACAATGGGAAATATATCATACATTGAATTCCATGCATATCAATTAATGAAATGGATGTTATGAGATGTACTCTCCCCATTTCCAAAACCATTTCTGTCACAACACAACCCACACCAAAAATGTTAACACAACTCGACCCTAGGCAACTCCTAGGTATCACGAAGGGAATTGGCTAGCTATCTCTGACCTAAGACGTCTCCCTAGCGTCATTTAGGGCCTAGGTAGCTTAATTATACACATCCAAATTTCATCTCATTGCCCCTTCTAGATTGGTTAACCCCCAGACCACATGACAACTCCAAGGCGTCTGATTTTCACAAAACCTTTATTAAAAACCTTTCAATATCAAATTAACTTCTTTAAAACCTTTTAAAAACCATTTCATCAAAACCTTCCAACCCATGAACCCATCCAATGTTCATGACATACATGCTATACATAAATCAAATTATTCACATTTCTCAAGGAAATCAATATACAACATCAATCATCATAATAACATGCTTTTACTCAAATAAACCAAAGTATCACATTTATATCATGAATCATGTAAGGCAACAAATATCTCAAGAAAATCAACTTGCAAAGAATAACACCTTGACACAAAATCATCCTTTCAAAAAATACATATAAGAGAAACTTATAAAGATTAAAGATATTATAGTTTAGACTTCCTTACCTCAAAAGATGAAATCCAAGCTCAAAATCCAAACCCGAAATCCGACCAAAATTATGCAAGACCGGTGTCAAAATGTTTCCATTGCCAAGTTCTAAAACTCTTCTAACTATGGTCTACCTCAAATCTCACTCATATAGGTAAGATCTTAGAGAGAAAATGAGAAGAAGAAAAATGAAAGAAAATGGAAGAGGGAGAGAGTGCCAAGAAACAGATAAGAGTGATGAGAATGATGGTGGTGAGTTCTCCAAAATGTGACCCCGAGGTCTTCCAAAGTCATAATCAAAGTCCACCCTCCACCTTAAAGTCTAAAATATCCTCTCATTCAAATACAAACTACCCACGCATGCCATCAAAATATCTTCCTCTACTAAACACCCCTCCCCCCCCCCCCCCAACACACACACACACACACACACACACTTATAAAACACCTTAATGTCCCAAATAAATAAATAATGCAATAAAATAACTGGGTCCAGCATGATGCGAAAAACGATGCATGAAAAATAAATAAAATAAAATATCGAAAATATCCGGGACATTACAATATTGTTTTGCCTTAATTTTCCCTCACGACACCCTCTTATAGAGAATGTCTATGTAACATGATGATGTAAATATAGATGCTTCTGAAATAATACTATGATTTCTTAATGCAACAAAATGTAAATATGACCTACAATGGAATCGCCAATTCGCCACCTAACATTGAAATTTAGACCCATGCAATAAGGCTTGCTTTTCAAGGGAGGTTAGTAATTTTTCAAAGGCGCACGTAATAAGGTTTGCTTTTCGGGAAATCTATATAATTATGATAAATTTCATTGGAGGTCAATGTACTTTACAAAGGAAGAAACTATAACTAATTTATATTCATTTTCTCAAATAGGAAATGTAATATGAAATTAAAACTATAAAAAAATCTAAATTGTTTTCCAATCTCTGTTATTTGAAAAATAAAAAAGTTTTATCATAATATTTGTTGAAAACTTGGCGTTCATCAAAGAAACTTTGGATCGAAATTGGAGTGGGCTCACTAAGTTTTTGAGGTGGTTCCATGTTTGAAGAATAAATAAATAGGGTAAATTTACTTGTTCAAAACTGTTTTATGTTGAATGAGGAATTTTATGGAGCATCATAGTTTTATGGAGGGGAGGACTCAAGCAAATAGGAATTGAGTCAGAAATTCTATTCAGGGGGGCACAATGTAATAAATTTTTTAAAAAAAATATACACGCAAAAATAAAATTTTATAAATTTGATACATACAAAAATAATTTTTTTTTTTTTAAAGTTGGGGGACAATTTTTTTTATTATAAAGAAATAAGCATATAGAAATGTAATTTTTTAAAAGTTGAGGGGGCACATGCTCCCCCTGAAGCCATCACTACAATCGAAGGTTGAGTCCAAATCAGTTCTGGATTTTTTCAAAGAAATATTCTTTTTATTAAAAAAAATTTCTAACCAGGCTTATCCAGAATTATTTAAGGTCGTGTGTTTAGGGGAGCTTCTTAGAGCCTCAAAAAGTCATTCCGAACTTGAAAAGTCCATTTGAAAAAATTGTAAAGCAAATGGACACGAAGCCCATGTCACAAAAGTAAGAAAATGTTGCTTTTGAAACCTCCTTTTTAAGAAGCCAATTTTTTTTTTCAAGATAAATTTATTATTTTACTAATTTGCTCATGTACCTATATTTTTTCTTGGTCTTCCATTCCACTACCGCCACCATCACCCTTCACTACCACCGCGACCACCGTGACATTCCACCACCACCACAATCACCACCGCCACCATCACCCTCTTATTGCCACCTTCCATGCTTCCACCACTACCACCATTGTTGTCGCCACCCTCAACTGCGACCTTCTACCACTGTCGACATTGTCACATTCCATCACCACCACCACCCTCAACCACCACCTTCTACCACCCTCGCAATTGTTTTCTTTCACCACCATTACCAGCATTGTCATCACCTTCCACCACTGTAACTTTTACACTTTTTTATTGGAGGGTTGCAATAATTGTTAAGAACAAAGGATATTATTGTCAAGAAAAAAATAATTTATAAGTTAAAGTAAATTTAAGAAATGTGCTCGCCAAATGTCTTTTTCTTTTGAATTCCTTCTGACAAATTTCCTTCCACAAAGGCCTTTATCAATAAAGGACTTTCAATATGGGGAAGTTCCCCAAACAAAGAATTTAAATTAATTTGGAACAAAACCATTAAAGCACACCTGACCCAGTCTGGCTTGGTCGGTTATGGGCTTTTCAAATAAATAAAAATAATGTTTTGGTTGGGCTTCGCCTGGTTAAGTGTGTTGGGCTTATCCAGAATTATTTTAATTTTTTAGAACCTGAATTATTTTGGATACAAACCCATCAAAACACACCCAACCCAGCCCAGCCCGACTTAGCCGGTTAGAGGCTTTTCAAAGAAATATTATTTTTATTAAAAAGAATTTTTAGTTGGGCTTCGGCATGCTTGAGTGTAAGGATTGGGGTTGATCTAAACCCATTGAAACACGCCCGACCGCTCAACCATTTCTAAGCTTCTCAAATATATATTATTTTTTATTAAAAGAAATTATATCTTGGCTTCGGCCTACTTGAGTGTGATGGGCTTATCCATAATTATTTAAATCTATCAAAACAACAATTAATTTGAATCCAAAACCATCAAAATACACCCAACCCTGACTTGTTCAGTTTTTAGCTTATGGTTGGGCTCGAGTCTACTTGAGTGTGATACGCTTATCCAGAATTCATTAAGCCTTTCAGAACTCGAATTAATTTGGAGCCAAACCCATCAAAACATACCCGACCCATCCTGGCTCTGCCGAATTTGCGCTTTTCAAAGAAATATTCTTTGAAAAATGCTATAGAATTTTGATTTATGATTTTATCTTGAATTCGGTGGCTGCTTTTTTGTCAGCTTATTTGGCTGTTTTCTTTATCAACTTAATAACTTTAATTTGTTTGGGAGACTCTTTCGATTAAATCTTCAAATAATTAAAACTAAAAATGTTTATCCAATTATTTTTCAGCCTAATGGAAAGGTGACATGTGGTGAGTTCCAATGAACTTGCCACACTAGATTGGTGCTTTAATATTTCAAAAGAGGAAGTTATACTGTGGAATTGTTGAAGATTGGCTATATGACATCTACCAATGAGAAGGAAGCATGTGGTGAGTTCCAATGAAACATGCCACACTGGATCGCAACTATGGTAAACTTTCATTGGAGTATTAAAAATATGTGATATCACGTAGCAATTGGAAGCAAGGATAAGTGTGCCCGTTAAATTCCACCACGTGGAATCTTTTTTTTTTTTTTTTTATAAAGAAAGTGACTTTAAACAATGGCCCACGATTTCCTAATGAGATGGAAGGATTGCATGGAAATACTACCATGCATGCAAACTCATGCAGTTATTTAAGGTAAGACTTATCCAATTAATCAACATTCAACATATGGAGCTTATACTATGATGGTATTAGTAGACCAATATAAATACGACACATGGCGGGTTCTATGGAGCTTACCATGAGATGTTAAGTGTGTGAATTTTGGATAGTATGTTTTCAAAACCCTTAAAGGAATGAAGACTTACCAAAATGGCAAGACCTAAGTTGACTAAGCAAGGAAGAAGAGAACATTGTTCCAAAAATCTCTCCTACTTTTTAGGAATTTTTGGCAAATATTCAGTTACTAACCTTACTAAGTCAAAATACAAAGTTGCAAGAGAAAAGAAACCGTGGGATGATTTGTATTTTTATATATATATATATATATTTATCTCTCCTAATATTTATTTATTTGTGTGTGTGTGTGTGTGTGTGTATATATATATTTGTATATCAGATACAACCCATGAAGAAGAAATCGCTGAAAGCATGGGGCCATGACGCCATTGAAGGAAAGTCCAATAGAAGGAAGTTACCAAAGTTAAGGGGAGTGTGGGTATACGAATAACTTCTATATAAATGCATGATATATATAGAATTATAAAGAAAGAAGGACTCTGTAGAAGGAAAAGACTACCAAAAACGTGGGTACTTGGCCAAATATAAACACTTCAGTCGAAGTGGCAGTTTTTTCATGCTGTTATTGCCACTAACTGAAAGAAGAAATCGAAGATAATGGATGATGTGGTTAAAGTTGTGGAATCATGCGTCTGAAATAAAGGAGGAAACCATACACGAGGAAGAAGAACAGAGAAAGAGTGGGACACATGTAAGTTTGTGAAGAGAACAAGTGGAAACTTATTTCAAGAACTACCCATAGCTTGAAATCGTGGAAGGCTAAAAGAACATGGTTGGAATCATGTGTCAGAAGAAACAAAGAGGAAGAAGAAGATGGAAGAAGGTGATTGCAGAAATGGAAATAATCGCCAAAGACAAGGGACACTTGGCAGTCTGAAGCCAAGCCAAGTGGAAGATGCCAAGGCTGCCACACATCAATTTGCTGCATGGAAAACATCTATAAATAAGGGACTTAGGCTTAACTTACAAACCTTGTTCAACACACACAACTAAACAACATATTTGCTTATTCATTTTATGTATCTTTACATCCCAGTAATGTATTTACATTATGTCTAATTTAAGTCCAACACTTACATTTCCTACTTTCCAGCAAGTAGTTCATAGTTTTTATTATAAGTCTTGCACTTTCAATACCGCATTTCTTTCCACTAGTTATAGAACAGTCTCAAAGTCTTTTTTCAAGGCAAAAAGAACTTTTGAAGGTGGTCATTCCAGTCTTTTATACAATCGCCTAATCCTCATAACTTCCAACTGGAATATTGTTCGAAAATCCACTTTGGAACAACTGCAGTTCTTGGCACGCTCGCGACACCTACGCAATCCCCATTCTCCACTCGCGTAGGAGGGAGGAATAACGAGCATTTTTGCTAGTCGAACAAAAAGTTATACTTTTTTACTATGAATAAATGACCTCTTTCTTGTGAACTAAATTGTCAAATAATTAAATTAGAAGTTACAATATTTTATCATGAATGAATGACCTCTTTCTCGTGATTAAAAGCACTAATTTACATAATTTACTTAAAGCTTTTTATAATTGTATTTTGATTTGGTATTTTCGAATTAAGGTTAAATTAGAGGAGGGAAACCTAGTGTAATTGTTCTTTCTTTTCTTTTCCTTCAATTGACAACTTGTTTAAATCTCGAATTTTAATTCGAGAGATGTAGCACTGCTCATATTCTTTTTATTGAAAAGAATTTCTAGTTGGGTTTCGGCCTGCCTGAGTGTGCTGGGTTTATCCATAATTCTTTAAATATTTGAAACCCTAATTAATTTGGATCCCATTCGTTCGTTTAGGTTTTGAGTCTTTTGACCGAACCTGTATGCCTATTAATTGTTTGAACAGAACCAGTGCAACTGTTAACACTTAGTACCAGTTTGCCTTTGGGCGATTCAACACAATTTGTCTATAAACACTCCCTACATTTCATTTTCATTTTGTACTTCAAAATAAATTCTTTTTCCCTGTTGGATTTTCTTCTGCGCTCCTTCACAAATCTTTCATATTTTGAGTTCAAATTTGTGGGTGCAATTTTGATTTGAGTTTGAGTTGGGTCTGAAATAGTATAACATAGTGATTTGTTTACTAGTTCCTTTCGTTTGGTTAATTCTATCATAAAGACCATTCAGGCGGGACCTAACTTGTCTTACAGAATAAAATTAAATTCTACCCTTGAATCTACACATGTTCTTTATTTATTATTATCTCTTAAATAATAACATACATATATATATATATATATATATATTACCAACAAAACTGAATAAAATGCGCCCTATGCATCATTTGAAATTCTAAACCTCCTCTCTCCATCGCCCCCATAATCAACCATAGAAGTCATGGAAGTAGCTTTCAAGCCTACTCCTAGAATTGCTAAAGCGGCTGATCAAACATGCTGAACCTTTTAGATTCTACCCAAAGTTTGGTTATTCAATCTTGCCTAAATATTATTGGCTCATGGTACACACTAGGAAAATTTATTGCAAAGTGCAATTCCGTTAGACTCAAAATTTAAGAGAATATTAGGTTTTGTTGTAAGAAAGTGTTCTAGTAGATCTTGCATAGAACATACCTCACCACCATAACGCAAATAAATTTCCATCCATAAGAGAAAAATGTGTCTACGATGGTAAACACCACCAACTTTTTCATCATCATCATCATCATGCAAGGTAAAGGTGAATGGTGCCTATTGAAGGCTTGGCATTCAAATGATTGTTCACTTCTCAAAATTAGAATTCGACCTCACACTGTACTCTGTTACAAGCTTTGCAAACGAAGACGACTTGTTTTCCAGCAACTTTGTTGGAGAATCATATTCCTCAACGAGTCCTGTGCCAAAGAGGGAAAAAAAGGGTAAGAACAAAGAAATTCTATATGAAAGTCTTGAGGGATTAGGAGAGATTAACGAACCGTGATCTAAAACTAGGACCATGTCACTGTCAATTACAGATGTTATCCGATGTGCAATTGTTAAAACAGTGGAGTCGTTAAAATGTTGCCTAATGGTCTGCTGAATTAAATTATCAGTTGCTGTATCAACTGATGCTGTAGCTTCATCAAGCACCAAGATCTTGCTTTTCTTGAGAAGCACACGGCCGAGACAGACCAGTTGCCTTTGGCCCATACTCCAGTTCTCTCCATTCTCGACAACTGCAATAATCATATGAACATTAAGAACTGAACTTTGTGGTTATGCGGGTTAAAGAAGTTTCGGTATAACTTTTATGTTACAATGGCGGATGAAAAAACCTGATGATTCAAGCTTGCCTTCCTTCTTCCTAATTTCATCTCCAAGCTGGCACTTATCAAGAGCCTGAAATAATGGCATGCATGTTAATTCATTAGTCCCAACAGCACGTACATAATATTAAAAGTCAATGCTAGGCGGGAGAACTTCCAATCTTTGTACCAAACCAGCATAAACCCACCTCCCAAATCTGTTCGTCCGTGTACTCTTCAAGCGGATCTAAGTTGTTCCGCACTGTCCCCTCAAACATGGTTGGTTCCTGAGGAATGATGCTCAATCTAGATCGTAAATCGTGCAGTCCAATTGAGGAGATGTTAATACCATCTATCAAAATTTGTCCTGCAGCTGGTTCAACAAGGCGGAAGAGTGACTGTATGAGAGTTGATTTACCACTGCCAGTTCTCCCCACGATTCCAGTCTTCAATCCTCCAGGGAAAGTGCATGTAAGACCCCGCAACACAAGTGGCATGTGTGGGCCATATCGGATCTACATTCATGCTCAACTCCATTAAATTCATACATACAACCCAGTAAAGCACTCATTTGGCATAAAAAGAAGTTGAATGAAAATTGAAATTACCTGCAAATCGCGAATTTCCACCTCTCCCCTTGATGGCCAGTTATTCTCTGGCCTATTTTCTTCTATCGTGAGAGGAGGCTCATTTGGGATAGAAGTATATTGAAGCATTCTTTCAACGGATATCATTTGATTCTCCAAATTGCTAACGACCCAAATGACGAAACCTTGTACGGTGTTCAGATTGAACCCATATGTCACTGCTAAGCCCGCAAGACCTTCAAAGTAAGAAGAAGAAAGAGTAAATTTGCACCTTTTTTACTCCAGTTGCCATAAAATGAGAAAAGGATGAAGATGGCAAACGAGAACCACTTACCTGGACTGATTGCTCCCCGTGGAATAGTGACCAAGAAAATTAAAAAGCAGGCAAATGTAATAGAAGACAACATATCCAAGCGGAAGGCCAGCCACTCGATTGCACCAGCACTGTAAAAATTTGGCTGCGAATACCCATCTGTCAATTTCATATTTGTGTCCAGGAATCTCGATTCCTGATCAAAGCTCCTGATAGTAGTCGATCCTGATATTGTTTCAGCAAAATGCTGTACAACAGGAGCTCTGGATACTCCACCTAACCGTGACAGTTCTCGTGCTGAAGGCATGTAATATTGCTGCAATCAGTAACATCAAGAACTCCTCTCATTTAGCATATACATGCAAAAGTCATGTTTCTGCGTATAATTTTCATTAAAAGGGGACCTTCTATCAAATTGGTAGTTAGGTTGAAAAAAATCACAAAAGTAACACATCCTTAAGACTTTTATGCTTAGTCTGATTTGCATTTATTTCGAGGAAACAACATATATGAGTTATATTAAGAAATAAAAGAAAGAATACTACATCATTCCAAATGAACCAATTTGGAATGATAATAGACATGAATGCAGAGGCTTTGCATCATGAACCTTGAGATTTTGGAAACCGAGTGTATACACATATAATGGGAAATAGGTTATCTTATAGACAAGGCTTTAACAAGAAGTTCAAACATAAACAACAATGACAAGAGGCATCAAGGTTGCCCAGAAATATTTATGATTTACTAGAAGCCCATGTTGGATTTTGCTTTCCACAATATGCTGTACTTATCAATGAATTCACATTCCAGTAAGGTTTGATACTACAACTCGGCAACAGCATTAGAAGGTTAGGCACTAATGGGCCACGTGCTCATTTGCCACCCATACATTTTAAGACAGTGCGAGCCTTTTGGATTTGTATAATTGTATGCAATGCCCTAAACTTCGTAAAGTTTTGTACACAATGATTAGGAGTGTTCTGGAGAGCTTAACCATTCGCGTGGAGGTGGACGCAGCCCAAGTTGGAGTCCTGAATGTGTCTCATAGCATTGTAAAGATCCTGAATTATATGGTGGGTGAGGATTGGCACAAAAGAGAAACCGACTAAGGTCTTTTGGCCATGAGTATTCACACCTTGTTGCTACACAGGTGTGGCTAGAATATTGATGAAACTGTAGATACAAGAATCAACTAGATTTAGTTGTTTTGTAATTAATCATAATATCAACCATTATAATGACTAGCAAAATCTGAGGTATTCAATGATTGCTTTAATGATATTGTGATTTGAAATAAATCATAATATTTTGGCAACTTATCAGAATTAAATATTAAAAAGTACCTGTACGCAGACACATGCTGCAATGACAGGAATGAAAACGACAAACACCTGCCATGCGATCTGTGACATTACTACAATAATCCCAAGGAGGTTTAAGATTGAGAATGCAGTTGATCCAACCGAATATGGAATGATAAAATCTATTGCAGTTTGGTCCGTAGATGCCTGTAATAGAAAACAGCTCGAGTAAGTAAATATATATATATATATTTTTCATGGCAAGAGTGTTAGGGGTTAGTGGGTTAGAGGGGAGGGGGAGGGTGCAAGGCTTGAACACGGGGAGCAGCCCAACCGCTCGGGCAACACGGCACTTGCGACTAAGTAAACTTGTAAGACCTTTTTTGGCAGGTGCTGCAATTCAAAAGCTTAAGACATTACAAAATTATAGACCACACAACATGATGGATTAGGAACGGTAATAACAGCAATAGTAGTAGTAGCAGCAGTATCATAAGTAATAGTAAATAATAATAACAATTATTTACTCACTCTATTAAGGATTCGTCCACTGGGGGTAGCATCAAAAAAAGACATGGGTGCACGAAAAATGCACAAGTGCATTTTTTTGAAGAGTAGGGTGGCTGTCTTATACCCAGCTGTGTTAAGAAGCAATGCCCTTATAAGGATGCAAAAGGCACATCCAATCGCCAAACCTACATAAACAGTCATGAGAGTAGAGATTTCAACTGGAAGCCCCTCATCCTTTGTTACAGGAGTTGCCCATGCCATCCAATAATTGCTTCCAATTTGAAGTAGCTGAAAGAGAATTTGTGCCAACAATATAATGGGCACAAGAGCACCTCCATATGCGGTCGTGATATATTTCCAGTAGACTGGAAAACCAACTCTACCTTTCTCTCTTTCTTCTTCTTGAACAAGCTGTCCTTTTGGATCCTTGGCATCATCTGCTTTCCCATTTTGACTATCATCTATGTCAGCAACCTTTTTAGCACTCTCTATATCTTCTTTGCTGATAGTTACTTTTTCAGAGTGTGACCCAACCGAATCAAGTGCTGATAAAGCTTCTTCATGTGCACCTACAAGTTCCATAAAATTGCTTCCCGAATTGAGAATTTCATTGTATTTTCCAGCTTGTGTGATCATGCCGTTTTTCATGACCTGATCATGGTAATAAGATTTTCATGAGTATTGTCGTATTGTCCATGAATAGAAAGAGCATGGATGAGACGTGAATAGCTCACCAGGATGAGGTCCGAAGCAGGTAAGAACTCTACTTGATGAGTAACATAAATCACTGTTTTTGAATCCGGAAGCCCCAGTAAACATTGCTGCCATCCAAAGATCAGTGAAGGCCAATTGTTAATTTAACCCATACATTTATTTTTTTAAGAAAACAACAACAAAGATAAACGAACAAATAGTGACAATACAACAGTAAAGAAGAAAAAGGTGCTGTGTTTACCTTCTATAAGCGCAACAAGAATCCAAACATATGCATATGGCAATAATAGTTACATATAACCACGCTTTTATCCCAATGAAGATGTGAACATATATTGCTCAAACAGAGAAATGATTAGGAGTAGAGAGTTGGAAAAACAATCACCTTAAAGAGATGGGTTCCTGTATGAGCATCCACAGCACTAAAAGGATCATCAAATAGATAAATATCAGCATCTTGGTATAGAGCTCGTGCAATCTGTATTCTCTGCTTCTGTCCACCACTCATATTGATTCCCCTTTCGCCTATAACTGTCTGATCACCAAAGGCAAAAATTTCCAGGTCCTTTTTCAAGGAACATGCTTCAAGAACCTTCTCATACCTTTCTCTATCCATTTCCTTTCCAAACAGTATATTATCTTCTATCTTTCCACTTAGTATCCAGGGGGACTGAGCGACATAGGCCTTTGTCCCACTGAGCTTAAGGCTTCCTGATATTTTAGGTACTTCTCCCAAGATACAGGAGAGCAAGCTCGACTTTCCTGATCCAACAGTACCACAAATAGCAACTCTCATGCCTTGAGACACTTTGAAATTTATAGATTTCAATGTTGGATTGGGGGAAGAAACATCCCAGGAGAAATTCCCATCAACTATGTCAACTGCTGTGTCAGAGCTACCTCTTGGGAGCTTCTCTATAACATCAGGTTGCAGGTCATCTTGGCTAAGGAATGAGGCAATACGATCAAGGGAAACCTTAGTCTGAGCTACCTCCGAGATTATGTCAGGAAGGTCAGACATAGGCGATTTAAGTTTTGCAAATGCTGCTATTGCAGCAAGAATCTTCCCTGATTCAAGTGGGATACCCATAAGCACGCAAGTACCAAAAGTGACCACAGACACAAATGTAGGGGCACCCCAAAACAGAAAAGTGCTCAATGATGTAGTATACACATATTTTCTCAACCAACTTTCCTCAATATTCCTGAGCTCAACAATTTTAGACAGAAACTTCATCTCCCACCCCTGAAGCTTGAGAACCCTCATGTTCCTTAAGATTTCAGAGGTTGCTTTCATCCTTCTATCTTTTGATTCCATTAACTCAACCTGAAGTTTCTCCTGCAATTTCGCGAATGGAGCATTTGCAAAGATTACAATTACCATGGAAACAAATGCAGCAATTGAAGCAAGCCCAAGGCTTTTATATAAAATAATTAATGCCAAAACAATTTGCAGAAGGATTATCCATGGACTATGTACGAACGCACAGAAGTAACCAATCCTCTCAGCATCGACGGTCATAATATTGATCATCTCCCCACTAGTGTGGCCCTGTTTCGATTGGCACGAAAGGGTTAAACTCTTATTGTAGATCATGTTAGTTAGTGCTGCCCTGGTTCTCATTTCAGCCCGCTGCACCGTAAAGACACTTTGTCTCTGTGCCAAGGACTGGACAAGATTTGAAATGAAGAATGCAGAAACCAATATATACCCTTCATGTTTAAAATGTTGTTCTCCATTAAGGTATTGAACAAAGGTTTCAATAAGGTACGGACCAACATAACTAGACAATGTGGTTAAAAGTAAACAGAGAGCCAATAGTATAAGTTGCCTCCACATATATAAAACTAATGTCTTCAGCAGGTTGGTTGTAGTGACAATGCTACTACTACCATTACCAGACTGTAGCTTATTTCTGAAATTTAGAAAGGACACTTTGGCAGAATCACTACTGTCAATATCAGGCACATCCTCAAGGCCTATTATTTTCCTATTACCAGTTGCAATTAAAGGACTCATCCAAGAGAAACTAAGGATACTAAAAACATTGGCATTTGAATAAGGGCATGCAGGTTGAGATGTGGCCCTATTAGTTCCACTAATGTCACCACCCAAAAGAGGTTCTTGAAGAAGTGTATCTTCTTCACTCTCATTCTTACCAAAAATTCCCACATAACAAAGGAACAACCCGGTAAGGGCGGAAACAACATCGGACGCCAAAAACTGAATTGGTAAAGACTGGTGATTTGTGTAATTAAAGTAGTCTATAACAAGGGAATAACAAGAGATTGATAAGAAAAACACCCACCAAACTCTTAATAATAATGGGAACTTAGATTCACCTGAATTAGAGAATTGTGTATGCAAGTAAACAGAAACTGATATCCAAGCAAAAGCTCTGAGCCCTAAATCCAAAAGGGTCACAATCTGTTCCTCAGACCAACCATTTGTATACCAATAGAAGTAGTTCCATGCACACAGAACAACATTAAAAAGTGAGAGACCCACAGAAAAAAACAGAGTTCGTTTGTAATACGAAAAACTGGTGCTCTTAATACCCTGTTTGGGACCCTTGTTGGTTCTCTTGCATACCCATGAAATGAACAGACCAAGCAACAAAATTAGCTGTAAAAAACCTGAAAGCCCATGTAAAAATAAGGGTTTGAGGAGGAAATTGCTGCCGGCATACATTGGTGAATATGAATGAGAGAAGAAAACTGAGATACCCTTCTCTGATGCTTCAAGAATTTTCATTGTTCATGAAGATCAGTCTGGCTATGCACCAGAGAAGGGTATGCCAGATTTCTCCTACTGCATTCTGGAACAAGATATTAACGTGAAATTACCTGATATTAGAGGTTTGTTTGTGTGTATATATATAGAATTGTGTATATATAGGAGAGAATGTGAAAGAGTCAAAGGTTGCTTTCTTGGGCGTATGATAATCTGGTGCGGAAGGCCCAGCTGCCAGAGGGAGCGAGAAAATGGGAAGACAAATGAACGGATCAGTTTGACATGTGAAATAATTCAATTATAAACCCCGTTTTCAAAAAATAAAATAAAAAAAGGAGATTGAAAATGCCAAAGCATAAGCGAAGCCTTTACTAGATTTTATTTTATTTAGAGTATATATTTTGTCATCGCAAATAATTCCCGTAATGCGCCAGACTCAAACCCTCTCCTTCTGATAATAAAATAAAATAATAAAAAAATTTCCTCCACTTTTTATTTTTAATAGAGATTAAGATTTATGAAATTTAATTAGGTATGTTGTTCTGTACTCATTTTAAGTAATTAAAATATTATTTTTTGAAAAATATTTCTCTAAGTTTTAGAAGTAACTAATTTTGAGAAGGTGACAAAACGTTTTGTAAAATTCTTCTACACACACTAGGCAAGGGCTTGAGAGAATGAACTAAACATTTTAGTGATTTCTTCCATCAAAACTTAAGATGTAAAAATAGTTTTTCATTGTTAATGTGATCACAAGGTTGGAAAAATAAATTTAAATTGTTTTTCAATCTTTTGTTCTTTGAAGAAGAAAACTATTATCATAAAACCAAATAAAATATGCCCTATATATCATTAGAAATTCTAACACTCATCTCCACAGAAGTCATTTCGTCTGTGAAGTTGCTTTCAAGTCTGTAGTTCAAGAACTGCTAATTGGGCTGATCAAACATGCCAAACTTTATAGTATTCTACCCACAGTTTGGTCAATCTTGCCTAAATATATATTGATTGTTTATAAGTACACACTAGGAAAATTTATGGCAAAGTGTAATTTTGTTGACTCAAAATTTAAGACAATACACGTTGGGTTTTGTTGTAAGATATAGTGTTCATCCCTAGTAATATATCTTGTACAGAACATACCTCTATATCTTGCACAGAATATATACCTCACCTATTACTTTGATTTTTCCATATCCCTATACTTCAAAAATAACACAACAATCTAAATTAGAAAAGACTTTCCACCATATTTTTCATCATCAACATCATCCAATTTAAAGGTGAATGGTGCCTAGGAAGGTCTTCAAGTGCTTGTTCACTTCTCAAACTTAGAATTTGACCTCACGCTGTACTCTGCTACAAGCTTTGCAAACGAAGACGACTTGTCTTCCAGCAACTTTGTTGGAGAATCATATTCCTCAATAAGTCCTGCGCCAAAGGGGAAAAGAATGGTAAGAACCAAGAAATTTTACATATCATTCTTGAGGATTAAGAAAGATTAATGGGCTCTTACTAACCGTGATCTAAAACAAGGACCATGTCACTATCAATTACAGATGTAATCCGATGTGCAATGGTTAAAACAGTCGAGTTGGAAAAATGTTGCTTAATGGTCTGTTGAATTAAACCGTCAGTTGCTGTATCAACTGATGCTGTAGCTTCATCAAGCACCAAGATCTTGCTTTTCTTGAGAAGCACACGGCCAAGACAGACCAGTTGCCTTTGGCCCATACTCCAGTTCTCTCCATTCTCGACAACTGCAACAATCATATGAACATCAAGAACTAAGAACTTTGTGGTTACGCGGGTTAAAGAAGTTTCTGTATAACTTTTAGGTTAGAATGACGGATGAAGAAACCTGATGAATCAAGCTTGCATTCCTTCTTCCCAACTTCATCTCCAAGCTGGCACTTATCAAGAGCCTGAAGTAATGACATACATGTTAATTCATTAGTCCCAACAACAACATGTACATATTTGAACCAAACCAGCATAAACATTAAATAAAGCCAAACCCACCTCCCAAATCTCTTCGTCCGTGTACTCTTCAAGCGGATCTAAGTTGTTCCGTATTGTCCCCTCAAACATGGTTGGTTCCTGAGGAATGATACTCAATCTAGATCGTAAATCATGCAGTCCAATTGTGGAGATGTTAATACCATCTATCAAGATTTGACCTGCAGCTGGTTCAACAAGGCGGAAGAGTGACTGTATGAGAGTTGATTTACCACTGCCAGTTCTCCCCACAATTCCAGTTTTCAATCCTCCAGGGAAAGTGCATGTAAGACCTCGCAACACAAGTGGCAAGTGTGGGGCATATCGGATCTACATTCATGCTCAACTCCATTAAATTCATAAAGACAACCAGGACATGAGCACTCATTTGGCATAAAAAGAAGTAGAATGGAAATTGAAATTACCTGCAGATCGCGAATATCAACCTCTCCCCGTGATGGCCAGTAATTGTCTGGCATATTTGCTTCTATTGTGAGAGGAGGCTCACTTGGGATAGAAGTATATTGTAGCATTCTTTCAACGGATATCATTTTAGTCTCCGTATTGTTAATGAGCCACACGACAACAGCTTGCATTGAGTTCAGATTGAGCCCATATGTCACTGCTAACCCCGCAAGACCTTCAAATTTAGAAGAACATAGAATCAATCTGCACCTTTTTCACTCCAGTTGCCATAAAATGAGGAAAAAAAATATGAAGATGACAAAAGAGAACCACTTACTTGGATTGATTGCTCCTTGTGGAATAGAAACCAAGAAAATTAAAGAGCAGGCAAATGTCATAGAAGACAAAAAATCCAAACGGAAGCTTAGCCACTCGGCTGCACCAGCACTGTAAAACATTGGCCGAGAATACCAATCTATCAATTTCATATTTGTGTCCATGAATCTTGATTCCTGATCAAAGCTCCTAATAGTAGTCGATCCTGATATTGTTTCAGCAAAATGCTGTATAACAGGAGCTTTGGATACTCCAATCAACCGTGACAGTTCTCGTGATGAAGGTAGGGAATATTGCTGCAATCATTAACATCAAGAACTCCTCTCGTTTAGAAAATTTGTAGTTAGGTTGAACGAAATCACAAAAATAACACATCTTTAGACTTTTATGCTTCCTCTGATTTGCATTTATTACGAGGAAAGAGCAATTATGAATAATATTAAGAAATAAAAGAAAGAATGCCACCTCAAATCCAAATGAAAATGTTTGGAACGACAATAGACAAGAATCCAGAGGCTTTGCATCATGAACGTACCTTGAGATTTTGGAAACTGAGCGTATACAAAAATAAAAGGAAATAGGCTATCTTATTGACAAGGCCTTCACATCAAGTTCAAACATAAACAACCATGACAAGATGCATCTAGGTTGACCAGAAATATTTATGATTTACCAGAAGCTCATGTTGGATTTGGCTTTCAACAATATGCAATGCTTATGAATGAATGCACATTCCAGCAAGGGTTTAATGTTACCCCTTGCCAACTTTATTAGAAGGTTAGGCACTAATGGGCCACATGCCCATGTTCCACTTACACCAGGACAGATTGAAAATTTTAAGATGGCACGGGACTTTTTTGTTTGTATAATCGTATGCAATGTCCTATAACTTCATAAAGTTTCATACACAATTGTTAGGAATGTTCTGGAGAATTTAGTCATTCGGGTGGAGGTGGATGCAGCCCAAGTTGGAGTCCTGAATGTGTCTCATAGCCTTGTAAACATTCTTCTCTATATGGTGGTTGAAGGTTGGCACAAACGAGAAAAACTGACTCAGGTCTTTTGTCCATGAGTATTCCACACCTTGTTGCTACGCAGGTGTAGCTATAATATTGATGAAACTGTAGACCTGTGACACCTAATTTTGCTAATTCTTTACAATAATCAACTTGATTTAGTTGCTTTGGTATAAATCATAACATCAACCATTACAATGACTAGCAAAAAATCTAAGTTATTCATTGATTGCTTCAATATTGTGATTTGACATAAAACATAATATTTTGGCAACTAATCAGCATAGTACCTGTAAGCAGATGCATGCTGCAATGACAGGAATGAAAATGACAAAGACCTGCCATGCAACCTGTGACATTACTGCAATAATTCCAAGGAGGTTTATGGTATTGAATGCAGTTGCTCCAACACTAAATGGAATGGCCAAATCCAGTGCACTTTGGTCTGTAGATGCCTGTAACAGAAAACATCTCAAGTAAGTAAACTTGTAAGGCCTTTTTTGGTAGGTGTTGTAATACAAAAGCTCCAGACCTTACAAAATTATAGACCACAATACATGATAGATTAGAAACTGTAATATTAGCAGTAGCATAAGTGATCGTAAATAACAATAACAGTAGTAACAAGAAGTATTTACTCACTCTATTAAGGATTCGCCCACTTGGGGTAGCATCGAAAAAAGACATGGGTGCACGAAAAATGCACAAGTGCAGATTTTTGAAGAGTAGTGTGGCTGTCTTATACCCAGCAGTTACAAGAAACACGGCTCTTGCAAGAATGCATAAGGAACATCCAAACGCCAAAGCTGCATAAACAAGCATGACAGTAGAGATTCCAACTTGAGGAGCCGCATCCTTTGTTACGGGAGTTGCCCATGCCATCCAATAATTTGCTACAATTTGAAGTAGCTGAAAGAGAATTTGTCCCAACAACATAAAGGGCACAAGAGCACCTCCATATGCAGTAGTGATATATTTCCAATAGACTTGAAAACCAACTCTACCTTTCTCTCTTTCTTCTTCTTGAACAAGCTGTCCTTTTGGATCCATGGCATCATCTGCTTTACCATTTTGACTATCCTCTGTGTGAACAACCTTTTTACCACTCCCTATACCTTCTTTGCTGATAGTTAATTTTTCAGAGTTTAACCCAGCCGAATCAAGTGCGGATAAAGCTTCCTTATGTGCACCTACAAGTTCCATAAAATTGCTTCCCGAATTGAGGATATCATTGTATTTTCCAGCTTGTGTGATCATGCCGTTTTTCATGACCTGATGATAGTAATAAGAGTTCATGAGTATCGTCCATGAATAGAAAGAGCATGAAAGAAACGTGAAAGGCTCACCAGGATGAGATCTGCAGCAGGTAAGAACTCCACTTGATGAGTAATGTAAATCACTGTTTTTGAATCAGGAAGCCCCAGTAAACATTCCTGCCATACATAGATTAATTATGGGCACTGGTTAATTTAACCCATATATTTATTTTATTAAGAAAAATAACAACAATAAACGAACAAATAATGACAATACAACAGAAAGAATAAAATGGTACTGTGTGAACCTATATTTGCTCAAACAGAGAAAAGATTAGTAGTAGAGAGTTGGAAGAACAATCACCTTAAAGAGATGGGTTCCTGTATGAGCATCCACAGCACTAAATGGATCATCAAATAGATAAATATCAGCATCTTGGTATAGAGCTCGTGCAATCTGTATTCTCTGCTTCTGACCACCACTCAAATTGATTCCCCTTTCGCCTATTACTGTCTGATCACTGAAGGCAAAAATTTCCAGGTCCTTTTTCAAGGAACATGCTTCAAGAACCTTCTCATACTTTTCTCTATCCATTTCCTTTCCAAACAGTATATTATCTTCTATCTTTCCACTTTGTATCCAGGGGGACTGAGCAACATAAGCCTTTGTCCCACTGAGCTTAAGGCTTCCTGATATTTTAGGTACTTCTCCCAAGATACAGGAGAGCAAGCTCGACTTTCCTGAGCCAACAGTACCACAAACAGCAACTTTCATGCCTTGAGACACTTTGAAATTTATAGATTTCAATGTTGGATTGGGGGAAGATACATCCCAGGAGAAATCCCCATCAACTATCTCGATTGCTGTGTCAGAGCTGCCTCTTGGAAGCTTCTCTATAACATCAGGTTGCAGGTCATCTTGGCTAAGGAATGAGGCAATACGATCAAGGGAAACCTTAGTCTGAGCTAACATTGAGATCGTCTCGGGAAGGTATGACATAGGCACTTGAAGTATTCTAAACGTTGCGAGTGCAGCAAGAATCTTCCCTGATTCAAGTGGGATGCCCACAAGCACACAAGTCCCAAAAGTGGCCACAGACACAAATGTAGGGGCACTCCAATACGTAAAAATCATCACGGCTTCAGCGTATAAAAATATTTTCAACCATCTTTCCTCCCTATTCCTGAGCTCAACAATTTTAGACAAAAACTTCATCTCCCACCCCTGAAGCTTGAGAATCCTCATGTTCCTTAAGACTTCAGAGGTTGCTTTCATCCTTATATCTTTTATTTCCATTAACTTATTCTGAAGTCTCTCCTGCCATGTCCCCAATGGAGCATTTAACAATACTATAACTATTGTGGCAACAAATGCAGCAATTGAAGCAAGCCCAAGGCTTTTATATAAAATATGTAATGCCAAAACAATTTGCAGAAGCATCAACCATGGATTATGCATGACCGAACAGAAGTCACCCACCCTCTCAGCATCAACAGTCATAAAATTGATCATCTCCCCACTAGTGTGCTTCTGCTTCGATTGGCATGAAAGGGTCAAACCCTTATTGTAGATCATGGTAATCAGTGCCCCCCTAGTCCTCACTCCAGCCCGCTGCAACGTAAAGTTCCATTGTCTCTGTGCCAATGTCTGGACAATCTTTGAAAAGAAGAATGCAGAAACCAATACATAGCCTTCATGTTTAAAATGTTGTTGTCCATCAAGGTATTGAACAAAGGTTTCAATAAGGTACGGGCCTACATAAGTTGCCAATGTGGATACAATTGCATAGAAAGCTGTTACTATAATTTGCCTCCATGTTGATATAAATAATGTCTTCAGCAGCTTGCTTGTAGTTACGGTACTACTACCATTACCAGACTCTAGCTTATTTCTGAAATTTAGAAAGGACTCGTTGGCACAATCACTACTGTCAATATCAGGCACATCCTCAAGGTCTATTGTTTTCCTATAACCAGTTGCAATTAAAGGACTTAACCAATTGAAACTAAGGATACTAAAAACACTTGCATTTAAATAAGGGCTTGCAGCTTCAGATGTGGCACCTTTAGTTACCCTAGTTTCACCACCCAAAAGAGGTTCTCGAAGAAGTGCATCTTCACTCTCATCCTTACCAAAAACTCCAACATAGCAGAAGAACAAGCCGGTAAGAGCCGAAACAACATCAGACACCAAAAGCTGAATTGATAAAGACTGCTGATTTTTGTAATCAAAGTAGTCTATCACAAGGGAATAACAAGATATTGACAAGAATAAACCCCACCAAATTCTTAATAATAATGGGAATTTAGATTCACCTGAATTAGAGAATTGGGTATGCAAGTAAACAGAAATTGATATCCAAGCAAGAGCTCCGAGTCCTAAATCCAAAAGGATCGCAATCTCTTCCTCAGACCAACCATTTCTATACCAATAAAAGCAGTTCAATGCACACAGAAAAACATTAAAAAGTGCCAGAACCACAGAACAAAACAGAGTTGGTTTGTAATACAAAAACCTGGTGCTTTTAGTACCCTGTCTGGGACATTTCTTTATTTTCTTGCAGACCCATGAAATTAAAAGACCAAGCAACAAAATGAGCTGTAAAAAACCAGAAAACCCACGTACAAAAATGGGTTTTAGGAGGAAATCGGTGCCTCCAAACATGGTTGAATATGAATGAGAGAAGAAAACCAACATACCCTTCTTTGATGCTTCAAGAATTTCCATTTTTTTTTATGGAGATGCTATGTGCCAGAGAAGGGTACGTCGGATTTCTCCTACTGCATTCGGGGACGAGAAAGTACCGTGATATGACCTGATATTAGAGATTTGTTTGTGAGTTTATATATATATATATATATATATATATAGAAGTATATATATAGGAGTACGAGAGAATGTGAAAGAATAAAAGCTGGCTTTATTGAGGCTAAGCTGGCAAGAGGGAGCGAAAAAATGGAAGACAAATGAATGGACCATAGGCTGATAGAGATCGAAAATTTATGTTGGCTATATTCGCTCAAATTACTCGTATTTCTTTTCTCTGATTAGGTTACATTGAGGGGGAAAAAAAAAAAAACACAGAAGTTACATTATTGCAGTCTTAACATATATGAAACGTAACTCTCCAACCCAAGCTATAATATGACCTCTAACCCTAATTACTCAATGTCAATGTCAGTCTTAACTGAATTTTTGCAACTTGAGATTTCTAATTAAAAAATTAAATTTTTAAACTTTTTTTTTTTTTTGAAAAACTTAATGCAAATTCTTAAAAAAATACAAACAAATTCTTAAAATTTTGATCATCCAAAGGGTTAATTGAGGATTTAAACAAATTAAATTGTAGAGTAAATGACTAGCCACTAACTATCCACCATCACCACCGTGCTGACCAGATCCACTGCACATTTGAGAATAGAGATATTTGTAATTATATTATAGTATATGGCTTTTCTGCACCCATTTTTTTAAATACGGTTACTTTTGTAATATAGGTTAAAAAGTTGTCATCCATTTAGTCGTATTTGTAATTATATAAAAGTAAAAGAGTTGATATTAGCGTTCACAATCACTTTTTTGCTCCAAATGAAATTACAGAAGGGTTTCAATTTAATTTCTATAATTTTTAATACCATAATTATCCTTCCTTATTAGAGTTTGGATTCTGGTTACCAAATATCTCTTTACCAATATAGAAAGCCATTAAACAACATTAGCAAAAGTAAGACAACACCAGCACCAAGGGAAAAAAAAAATGAGAGTAATTGTTTGTTTTATAGTTAGGAATTAAGCCACACAATCTTTTTTAATAGGTATTGCTCTTACATTTTAAGCGTGTTCTCACTTCACGCACGTTTTGACTCAAAACACTCCGAGCGCGTTCTCGCTCCGTGCACACTTTGACTCAAATTTTCACTAGTTATGACTTAATTCTGTCGCTCTCGAATTTGCTCTCGCTCCCGCTTTATGTGACTTAGATTAGAAATATATATATATATATATATATATATTGAACGAACAAGTAGCTTGATTTTTTATTTATTTTATTTTATTTATTAAGAGAATCAGGTTGATGAGAAGAATGCAAAAAATAAATAAATAAATAAATCCCAAGAGCATGCAACACAAACACACTTTCTCAAAGTCCAAAATAAACAAAATACAACAACAACAACTATTGTTGCAATACCACCACTAAAAAAAAGACCAACTAGAAATAAGTGCATATTACTAAAAAAAAAAAAAATCAATGAAACCAGAATTATAAAACATATAGATTAAAATATTAGAGTTAAAAAAGAACATGAATTAAATGAAAAATTTTTGTTGACAATTTACAATTGCTTATTTATGAATTCATAAGCACACAAAATTGACCATATTACATAACAGATGATTTGATTGACAACTCAAAATTCTATACGTTCTTTATTTGAGTGAGTCCGTTCAGCAATAATTTCAAAACTATTTTATTGTCAACAATTTGAAAACTAAATATTATACATTCTAGTCTTTTTTTTTTATTTTATTTTTGTATATATAGCCATGCCAATCGATTCACACTTAGCTTCATTAAATTTTAATCTAAGGAAAAACGTGAAAGAAAACATTCATGAATTAGAGGAGTTAGTATCGTTATGACTAAAATAGTCCCATATATATGAGATGGGGATTGAACCAAATTTTAATTTTTAGGAAAGATTAAAAAGAATTTGGTCGAGTCTTGTCTTTATATGGAGGACAATTATGGTATTAAAAATATAAGAACTAACAAAAGAATTTGGTCGAGTCTTGCCTTTATATGGAGGACAATTATGGTATTAAAAATATAAGAACTAAACTTAGTATGATGTAGGGATTAGTTTGTAATTTTATTTTAAGAGATGAACATGATGGAGTGTGAGATGATAATTGTGGAGTGCCAATTTCAATTTTTTATAGTAAATGACTTTTCTACCCCCATTCTTTTTAAATACTGTTACTTTTGTAATATGGGCTAAAAAGTTGTCATCCATTAAAATTTTCCGAAATTAAACCAATTTTACAGATGGGAACAAAATGTACAAAAAGTGTAGATAATATATATATAGACCGAACTAGGGCATTGGGCTACACCACAAGAAAAAGAGACAACACGAGCCCAAACTAGCACAAATGAAGAATAAACATGAAGCCTATACCAAGGCCCCAGCTCTGAGAATGGCAAAAGGATCGCGTTATCCCAAAAAGAGAAAATTTTTACAAAAATAATTCTTGCACCAATTTGTTGCAATAAATTGACAGACTTACTTATTTTAATAAATCCATCTATACAACAAATAAAAGTGAAACTTTCACTTACTTGTATTGTGTAAAAATAATCAATCAAAAACTTTCAGTTAAGAAATTTCAGTTAAGTAATTTATTACACCAAATTGATGTAACTATCACTACTTAATTTTAAATGGTCCAGTCAATTATTATTGAACATGTAAACAAAATGGTGAAAAAAAATATTTTTGACGCAATTATATAAGAACTTCTCATATAGCTCAAGTTATCTCAATAGCCGACTCTGTATATGTGTTTTTATTTTTATTTATTTACTAATTTTATTTTTTTTTGAGAATTGGCCAGAATAAATATACGTTTTTGAATTAAATTAAATAATATTTTATTTTAAAAATAAAAATTGTTTAAAATTTTGCTACTCACTCTTATATGGTCCAATAATAAAATAATATATCATATTTAAGTGTGAATTATTTTATTATTAAATATGATGCATTATTTTATTATTAAAAGTAACTTCACTTTACTCACCTTACTCACCAGTAGCACATACATTTTATTTTATTTATTTATTTATTTATTTTTGGTTCACCACACTGGATCCTCTCCCTCTCCTCTCTTGCCCCTCTCTCTGCAGACCCATTTTTGGGGCACAAAGAGAAACCACAGGCACAGCCGCCACCTACAGGCTACACTTTCTTCCCCTCTCTCTCGCCCCTCTCTGCACTCTCTTTTCTCCCCATGTCTCTCAGTCTCCGGCCGGTCTCCCTCGCTCTCCGTTCTCTTTCTCTTCTACTCACCGGCGGCCCTACGGCGAAGAACCCGTTGTCCAAGCCGCCAACCCTCTCCACCAACGCCGAGCTCAGATCCAGATTCGCCCAGCAAAGCCCGAATCAACAACTGCAGCTTCGGGAAGAGTTTAGTGTAAAACAAAACTTATCCATCAAGCTTTAATATATTCTCCAATTTTATTTATTTATTTATTTTTTCAGGCTGGCAAATAAATTCATTAATTAAAATTCAAAATTTCACTAAGTTAGAATCTTCAATATCAGAGATTATCAATATTTTCATTGGGTAATAATAGGCGACGCTAAAGAGAAAACGCTAATAACAAAAGAATTGTAAATAACATGAGTGGCAATGAGCTGACCCCAATAACTTCAAGGGGAGAATAACTTCACGAACTAGTGGGAATACCCTGAAAGAAAAACACTCTGTACGGCGGGGCGGTTTCAAATATAATAGGCAGAGAATGTAAAAAATCTAATTAATTTGTGTTGGGAAAAACTTTAATCACAAATTATCATAAAACCCTAAATCTTAGAATTTCAATTAATTTCACATCCTTATAACGCATAAATAAATATAGTTAGATATACATACCTCGATTCATGATATCAAACCTTGTTGAGATTAAATCCAATGTCCAGATCCTTTAACCACGAACCAATTTGCAACTCTGATCAACAGACAAAGGTGGAAACTGGTTTCTCTCCCTTACCCTTTTGCACACAATAACCTTTTACGTGTTGTCTCAATAATTGTACATAATTGATGGAGCGTATGCACTTTTATAAAGGCAGAGAGAGGACTAGTTTTCCTTTTAGTAACATAATTTTACTTTCCATCAAAGTAAGGAATTAGAAGGAAAACACTTCTCCAATAAGTAATTACCAAAAAGGTAATTTTAAGTTGACCAAGAATAATTAATTGATATCTATTTACTTAGCCACTAAGTAATATGTCACATGTCCAAATCATGTGGGCCACAATTAAATAAATAATCTTACATTCTCCCATTTGGCAGATATGATAACTTCTGTAGTGGTTTAGTAAAATAGTCATTAGTGTGCACTATAAATCAAATTAAGATATTAAATACGGTCATCATAAATACCATGGTAAACAAACTACCAATGTGAGTCATGGCGGTTGTATGTCCCTAAATGACACAGTCCCTTCCATGTACCACAACACTAGTAACCCATTTAACAGAGTCTATAAGTGAGAAGCATCAATAAAGGTCTAGCTATAATATATTTTCTAAGACTATTCCTGTTTTCATCATTTAAAGTAATACATGCATGTACATACATAAATTAACAGGAAATATCAGAAATACATTTTAATGAGCTCAAAATGTCAAATATATATAAGCATTGTTAAGCAATCCACAACAAAAATAATAATTAACTTTGATTACATTCAAGACCCATTCTTTCAACATGCCCTATGAATGTCTTGGGTGGTAATCCTTTTGTCAATGGATCTACAACCATAAGCTGTGTGCTTATATTTTCAAAAGACACTCGTTATTTCTGAACTTTTCTTTAACGGTAAGATATTTCAGCTCCATATGCTTAACGCTATTGGAATACTTATCGTTTTTAGTAAAGAAGACAGCTGCGGTGTTATCACAATAAATTTTCAGCGGTCTAGAAATTGAATCCATAACACCAAATCCCGAAATAAAGTTCCGTAACCACAAACCATGATTTGTACCCTCAAAGCATGTTACAAATTCAGCCTCCATAGTTGATGAAGCAATAATAGACTGTTTTGCGCTTTTCCATGATATTGCCCCTCCAGCTAAAAGGAACAAATAACCAAAAGTGGATCTTCTACTGTCCACACATCCAGCAAAATCTGAGTCTGAGTAACCAATAACCTCTAACTCACTAGTCTTTCTAAATGTGAGCATATACTTCTTTGTTCCTTGTAAGTATCTCATAACTTTCTTTACAGCTTTCTAGTGATGCATTCCTGGATTGTTTTGGTATCTGCCTAGCATTCCAACTGCAAACCCAATATCTGGACGAGTGCAAACCTGTGCATATATCAAACTTCCCACAATAGATGCATAAGGAATATTTTGTATTTCTTTATGTTCTAATT